TTCTCACTTTGTAACGAATGCGAGGAAGCCAATATTTATTCGTCAAATGTTTGCAGCCTACCCCTCTCTGGTAGTAATCCAACAGAAAAAGGACTGCGTGTCATTTTTTTTCCCGGGGCCTGGCTCGAACTCGGAGGTGGTGCTCCATTTGGGCTAATGCGGAGAGCTGAGGGTGGAACAGCCGATGAAGCGATCCCCGGGGTTGGGTTTGTTTTTTCTTACCCCCCCCGCCACCCGTGTGCGCGCTCCTGGTCACCGTGGCATCCGCAGACGGCAGCTGCTGCGGATCGACTTCGCGCTGTGTACATAACAATACCTCTGTTGTCATTCCAGCGGCCCTATCTGTCTCGGCATCGCCGGGCGTGAGGGTACGAGGAATTCCACCAAGTTTTGATACTTCAATTAAAGTGCGGCTGTCTCCTGTTATCTCATTTAGTCTGTAGTCAATATGATTGGCATAATCAGACATGCCTGATTGGGGCCTCCCATTTAATTAATCAGTCTCGCTGTATCATCACCTGTGGCTCATTAGAGTAATTAGAGCAAATTAGTCTGATAGAAGGCCTCTCTCTGCCTGCAGAAGAGTGGAGGGAATTTCATTAGAAAAGCTGATCACACGAACCTACTCCCAGGGTCCGATGGCCACTGGTAATGGGATTTGTTTACCCATGACTGTTATCGGTGATGAGTATTATTCCTCACACTGGTAGGATGGAGAGATACTCGTTTCCATCTGGCCCGTCCTCCCCTCCTCGCTGTAAACACAGCTCGCCATGCCAGATTTCGCCAGGGGAGCATGTTAGCAGACTTCCTCTTCTGAAACGGAGTTCAAAAGAATGTGGAAAGACTGGGCTCCCAAAGTCGCTGCAGCGGGGCTGCCTGTGCATCCATGTGAGAGCACACGCGTGTGGAGCAGCGTGCGAGAGGCTTCTTGGCCAAGTCGGTGTTGAAGCCTCTCTAGGGAGTGTTGGCAATCTGTTCCAATCGTCTTTACAGCTGACCAGACGACCAAATGAACCAGGACAGGGACTGCTGCTGTGGGCCAGTCCAGCCGAGCCAAGCGGGGCTGTTACAGCAATCACACAGACATTACAGTCCACTTAATGCTCCCCTGCACACACAGATTCCAGCCTCCGCCAGGCCAGACAGCGCCGTCCTCCCAACCAGGCCCCATTTTAAAAATAGCACCGGAGTTGGTATAGATGGTTATATCACTGAGGTAGATTGAATGGTTTTACAATCGGAACCATTTCAAAGAGAGAGAGAGAGAGAGAGACGGGGGGCAGAGACCGACCGTACAGGCCAAAGAACTGTGGACTTTTCCTTTTGGAATGCTTTATGTTTTCCCCTCAGAGGCGTCAGTGCAGCAAACAAGGCAAGCGTCTATTCGTTGATTTATTTATATATATTTATTTGTTGTTATTCTTGGCGCGGCGTGATGTCTCTCATGTAAGAAACGCACTCCCTTCAAAGTACACGTGTCTTTAGTTTTAATTAGTGTGTTCAATACTCTTGGCTGCTTGTCAAGCTAATTTGCAAAGTTTATCATGCTTGCGTGATGTCAGTCATTAAAGTCAAACATGTTTGAAGGGAAGTCCCAGTGGTGTGCCAGATGGCTGAAACCCCCGCGGAGCAGCCTTTGCTCGACATTAATGATATTCTTTCCTAAAAGTTTTAAACTTGATCAATTAAAAAAAAAAAAGAAACATTAACAAAACAACCAAATTTTCACGCTGCTACTGATTTCCTTTTCAGTATTGTGCTTTCTGAGTTTGCCCAGTTGAGTCCAGTCAGCTCGTTTTGACCATTTTGTCCTGGTTGTGTTTGTGTAGTTGTGTGTTATCAGTCCAGCCGAGCGCCGTCTCCAGAGCAGCGGTAACTTAAGCCGCAGAGCGAGGGGCAGAAAGGATCGGTTGGCGGCCCCAACATTCCCCAGCTAAGCGCCTCTAAGGTGGAGTTAATCAAATGGGAAGCGGGCGATTTGCAGGATGTGAGCGTAAACCCGCTGATGAACGGTAATTAAGGGGTTAATGGAGGTTGCCGTGCTACCGCCTTGGCATCATGGATGCTATGCGAGGGCCCTAAACCGAGCAGGGCGAAAGGCGGGGAAGCGCCACAAAATGAGCCTCTACGGGCCCCACGGGTCACCTGTGTCCGGCAGTGTGTGAGGCAGCCACGATAAACACACACACACACGTAAATTAGCGTTACATCAGCTTGAGAGGAAAGGAGCACTAAACACTATTCGTGAGGGATAGAAGAAAGAACCAATGGACAACAATCGACAAGTCTTCTAAGTTCAAGCTCGTTGGGAAGAAACTTTCCCCTCAACTTGAGGTCAACATTGCTGTCGAACGAGTTTAAATTGATTCATTTTCTGATGAGCTCAGAGCGGGGAAAGTTGTCCCCCGACAGTGAGATGCGACGGCTGTGAATTCTGGCCGGGCAGCTTGAGGATTTTGGGCTTTATCAGCAACACGAGAGCACAGTCTGCCCGCCTCTGCTGACGTGGGCACCCGGTTTGCTGCATAGTCAAAACCCGACGCGGTCTGAGGGTCTTTTTTTGTTGTATTTTCTTTTTCAAACTCAGACGGTGGCCATAACAACTTCCCTCTTGGCAATGAATCGGCCCTCTTTTCTGGTGTGATGTGTGTATTCCCAGCATGGGAATTTATTTGGAATTGGGACTTGGAAGACGTCGGGATGTGTGCAGAGTACTTGAAAGCCATTGGACAGAACTGAGGGCGTCTGGGAAGGACACAGCCCCTCCCCCACATCAATGTTTGGTCAACATTGTTATATTTTTAATTTTCTTTTGCGTAATAATGGATATTTGTGTATAAATATTAATTCTTAACAAAGCAGATATTGTTTGTCGGGTCGTTTTCCTCAGCTAAGGAAGCGGTAACTCGAGCTGGACTTTTTTTTTCCTACTGTTAAAAAGACTGTAACCCAAACAGTTGTTATTAAAAGAAGTATTTCAGTTGAACGGTTACATCCTCTGGAAAGCATCCATTGCGGTGTGAGTAAAACATAGCAGACAGCAGTATTAGTGAAGTGATGCTGACCCTGTTTCAGTAGATTAAATTTTGATTAACTCACTCACGCTTCAGGATGCATTACTCTGTTGGTTGTCTGCAGTATTTTATCGAGTGAGGTTTTCTATTCTTATATTGATTCTCCTAGTCTAATGACACGTGTTGGATTATTATTAACTCATCTGGGTGTTGAGGCTAATCAAATTTTTTGTTTTTGGTGTGAACCGTCTGAACTTGGATCCAATTTAAAACAACAACAAAAAAACAAAACCCACTAACAATTAGAATTATAATAGAGATTTGTGTATTCTTATCTCTATCTGTGATTTTAGCCCCATCCATTTGGAATAATGTACATGAAATGATCCAAATAAATGGTATTCCTATGGCGGTGATCAATATGTGCCAGTGAGGTGCACCTTGAGGCAGCTGGGTCCTGGCTCCTCTTTCCCGATGCTAATCTTAACCAGTTTAATAATTACACCTCTTTTCATGAATTGGAGCATTCAGTATCTGGAAATTAATTTAACGTGATTAAAATTTATTAGGTTGCTGCTTTCATCAAGCGCTGCACATGCTCCTGTGCACGCTAGAATTCACTAACAGATAGTGCAGCTGCTCCGTGGCCATGGGCAGACAGGCTGCTACATCAACTGCTCCATGGGCAGCCAGAGCAAGATGGCATGGAAGCAAGTGCGCAGTTTGTCTTTTTTTTTTTTCTCTTTTTTTCTCCCCCTCAAAAAACCTGTGCTGCAGCGTAAAATGCAATGCGGAAGACCCTTTTTTTCCCCCTCTTTTTTTTAGAGGTTTGTGGATAAAACAAGATCATGGCTGGTCAGGGAATTAAACTCGGTGCTGATCGGGGGGAAAAAAACAACAACTCCTAATTAGGACTTGATCACTCTATTCCTTAAGAGGGTTGATTTATTTATTTATTTATTTATTAGTGTGTGTGTTTTGAGGGTTTGGGCGGTGTAGGGAGGTGGGCCATGCAGGCATGAGTGTGTTTTGGGACCTTGTCAGCACACTGAGCCGCGAGGGCCCCCGTAGTAATGTGTGTATTAAATGATTAGTGCGTTAGTTAGCATAACGGCCCTTCAGCAGCGTTTAATCACTCTCAGGGGTGGGCGGCCTCACAGGAGGCGGATGGAAGGGGGTGGGAGCGTGGGGATGGGGGGGGGGGCAGGGGGAAAATAGAGGGAGGCGGAGTGAAGGAGAGATTTAAACCGAGAAGACTGAACTGCTGGTTGAATGAGCGAGTGGATGATCTGTGGAGAGTTTAGGGGGGAAAAAATGAAGTGGTGTGGGGGGAGGGAGTGAGCGTGACACAGGGCAAGAATCCAAAAGAAACATAATCCAGTAACAGTGACACACTCAGCAGAGAGAGATACAATCTTTACAAGGCCTGAATGCCTTGTTAATGTCAGAACTTGACCCATCATCTGGAACACGTCCTTTGAAAAGCTATTAATAACGAGGCAAAATGGATGTGGATGAAGGCGGGTCCGAACCCGGCCTTGACTACACTGTTGTCGATAATTGGGGGTGTTGTTGTTGTTGTTGTTACGCAGCTCGGATTGGGAGGAGTCATTTCGGGCTGACAGTGTGTAATTGTTGCAAACCACCCGGAAACGCAGCCACGGCGACACGCCGGCTCTCTCGACTGAGCGGCAGACTAAAAGCTTCAGACATCATTTGAAGCAGCGTCAGGAGATCAAACCACTCCAGTTTTTCTTGGCCCAACGGGGGCCGCTAGGGGTCTGCTCCCTGCCTCTGCCGCAGCAGCGAACTGGCCAAGAACAGCTGTGGCTAAAACGGGTCGTGTGTGTGTGTGTGTGTGTGTGTGTGTGTGTGTGTCAGAAAGCTGCTTCCCCTCACTCCATCCATCACGACAACAAAGATGCTTATTGTGATAACGACAAGGAAAAGCCGTAACACCCGGTTGTGCGTCTTGCGTTGCAGAAAGAACTGGACGCCACCGCCACACAGCTTGCCAACAGACAGGATGAGAGCGAACAGTCCAGGAAGAAACTGATCGACCTGAGCCGCGAGTTCAAGAAAACCACTCCAGAGGTGAGAAAATCAGATATTTGCAGGCATGCACCAACAGAAAACCACTCACACACACACACACACACGCTCACACACACACACACAAACACACACACCAGCACCATTCTTCCAACAGTCATCCCTTGCCTCGGCGTTTCTCGGCGTCTGTTCTGCTCCTGATAAATTTGACCGTGATTATTTACTGAGGAGGAAGGGGAGGAGCGCACGGCGCGGAGATGCGGGCTCGGCTCCCAAAAATAGTCTCTCCATTAGTTTCCCCTGAAATCCTAAAGAGACAAAACAGAAACCCCCTCAGGAGTTTGTATTATCTGACCTAGTTTTTTATGCGAGCAGAAAGTGTGGTCCGTGTGTGTGCGCGCGTGTGTATGTGTGTGTGTGTGTGTGAGAGAGAGAGAGAGAGGGAGAAAGATGGAGAGGCAGAGCAGGGCTGAGTGGGAGGGAGAGAAAGAAGGAGGGTGACAACACTACTAAGTGGGATCAGGAGGGAATTCTGTCCTGTTCCTGTGTTCCCATCACTCCTCCTGGGAATATTTGTTTCATCTCGGTTACCACGGCAACACATTTCAAAACCTCACAGTGAAAACAAAGTATTGTTGTGTTATTATTGGTAATGTCACCATGGTGAATTATTGATGGTGGTATGAATTATGCATGAATGGTGGAGACGGTGGATAGAAAAATTGTCAACTCTCGGTAGAGTTGACAGTGGGCCTATTATAGTTACCAAAGCAGGAGGACTGTGACTGTTGACTTCAGCACACAGCCCACCCAGCGCAGAGGAACACACGCCAAACGGAATCCGTACCTGCACACAAAAGGCGCTAATTTCGCCTCGCCCGTCTCATTCATCTCTTATCTCAATTCCGCGTAGAACCACGTAAGGCGCCTCGCACCGGGGCCAGAGAGAGCCGCGCATACAAAGGAGCCGCGCATACAAACACACGAGAGGCAGATCAGCCCAGATCACAGGACGGGACACACACATTCATCAGTGTAACAAGGCTGTGATTTAGGAAGGCTCCTCTGGCGTCTGCGTGGCCCCTGGCATCTCCCTGGTATGTGGAGGAGGAATCCAAGCCCGGCCAGACGAGCGACAGGATTCATTACAGGGCTGAAAGAGGCTCAATAGGAATCAGCGCTAAAACTCTGGGGCTGCCGGAGAGCCCAGAAGCGTCGATGCGGCCCACCGAGCGTCGTAAGGAACGCGACGGCCCGGGCTTGATTAAAAAAAAAAAAAAAGCGGCCTCTTGTCGTCGGGCTGTGTGCGGGGGAGCAGCCCATAGAGGGGGCTGTCAGCTCTCCGTGGTCCGCCCCAGTCCATGGAGATCACAGTCACATCAGATCAGACCGCATTAGGCCGGGCGGGAGGCCGTCTCTGATCCATTATTCAGCAACCAGGAGACCGGCCCTAGTCGACTTCGTCTAGCCTCCCGAGCTGGACTCGCCGTGAACCGCTTTTTGGAGGCGCGCACGCCCGCGCCGCCGCCGTTTGGAAAGTAGTGCAAAGAAATGCAGCGTGAAAACAAAGTGTTCATAATTCATTAGGACTGACACACTGTTGAATTTTTTTTTTTTTTGAGACTGCATCCTAAGTTTCCTAAATTATTCATCGAGTTCTTAATTTCCTTTTGAGTTAGTCAAGAGCGCTCTACTACAGTGTTATAAAGGAAAGGGTGGGAACGGTTGTAAAATGCCCCAAAGATTGCTAGCCAGAGGCAGTGGTAGTAAAACAACATGGTGTGTGTGTGTGTGTGTGTGTCTGTGTGTGTGGGTGTTCATACAGGCACGCACACACATTTGTGTTTAGCTGCAGGGTAGACAGACAGCGAATGGGAGTTCCACACTCCCTGGAGGATTCCTCGGGCTGGCCTGTCTGCTGTCTGCTCGCAGCTTACACACCAGCCATCCATCTCCTGCTGCTGGGCCCCTCCACTCCCGTCACGACGCGCACACACACACACTCACTCACACACACACACACACACACACACACACACTCACACACACTCAGATTGACCATGGTGTCTGTGTGCATTGTTATGTTATATGGTCATAAATCTTTAGAAGTGGAGGGGGGGGGGGCAGGGAGGAGGAGTACCCCAGGACCAAAGGGGTTCAGAGCTCCAGTGTCCAGCAGGAATAACATCTTACAGCTGTTTGTTGTTTCTGTGGGTTTGTTTTTATTTGTTAAATGTGCGTTCTGCTGTTTGTGAGCTCCCTCAGAGTCGCAGCCAAACTCAAAAGAACCATATAAAACAAACAAAAAAAAAGTTAAAAATCAACCAGGAAACTTAATCACTTCTTGCACCCAAATCTCCGTTAGCTTTTTAAAGCTTCTTAAAAAAGGGTGAGGATTTTTCTTCTGTTTGTTTTCAATAATTGGCAGTCCTAATTGGTCCCGTCATGCAGACACTTTCTCAGCACATTCTGAGCAGTGTGAGCTGTACAGGGGTTTTAATTGTTGGTGGAGGGCTGGGTGAAACTCGAAATGGAAAACAAAAACACTTGGAGAAAACAAAAACCCTATTCCAGTGCCGACTCAAAAAAGGAAACGCTGCGTATTATTAAAAAACAGATACATGGAGAACACGCTCTTTGGGGTGAGGGGCGCAATCACAATCTCATGCAAATGAAAAAAACCGTCCCTTATACTGTGGTCTGGTGAATAAAGGCCAGCCTGAGCAGAGAGGAGTGTGGGGGTGCAGGGTGAGGGCCATTATACCCAACAGGGGAATATTGAATTGGCCCAGACAAACAGTCCCCGCGACCCCTGATGAGGTAACAATAAAACGGGGTCATGGGGGTCACGCCCTGTCCTCGGCCCCAGACAGGCCGCCTGTCTCCTGACCAACCTGGGACTAATCCAGCCCCAGACGCTGGTCACAGGTCAGCTGGGGATGCGAGCTCCCCGCCGTTCTCACTTAAGGATTTTAGGTGGAGGTTTGCATCTCCTGAGCTCACATCTGTCGATGCCCTTCCTTCATTAGGCAGTTTTGTTTGCGTGTGTGTGTCTGCGTGTGTTCGTGTGCGTGTCCACAAACTGTGAAAAATCAAATGTTCCGGTACAGAATGTCCTATCCAGCTACGCTTTTTTACCACACGCCCAAGTTGAGTTTGTCAGGAGCCGGGCCAGGCTAACGGCTCGGCGATTTGCATGTTCTGCTGATACGTACGCAGACCGGCTGTCTAATCTGAAACTGCTGACTCGGACCCGGAGAGTCATGCAACGGGACTGCGAAGATGGGGGAAAAAAAGAAAAGCATTTGCTTTATAGCGAAAAAACCCGGTGTGCTGCGAGGACAGTCTGCATTAATTGCAGGCCTGCTCCGTGGCTCGCTCGCTCGCTCTCTGCCTTCCACGCGCCAGCGCTGCCTCTGGGTGGCCCAGGTGGTGCTGCACCTGTTCTCAGGAGAAGCGCCGTCCACCAGGGGCCCCTCGGGGTACAAATCTGCCCGTCTCCCCCCCTCTCTCCGCTCAGCCACTCACGCAACACACTGTATTTATCGGTAATGGCAAGATGGCTGCTCCTTGATTTCCAATAAAGCATTTGTTTTCAGAAAACACGGTCTGTCTGCTGAAAAAGGCATCCTCATCCATTTTATGATTAAAAAAAAAAGCTCTGTTTATCTTTATTATTTTCTTAAACCTATATTTCCACTTCATTTTTTTCAGGATTTGCGGAAACAGGTCGCCCCTCTGCTTAAGAGCTTCCAAGGAGAGGTGAGTGTGCTCTTATGAATTAATATTGACAGTGGTAGAAGTACATGCTGAGGCACAGTACTTAAACAATGCATTTTATAAGGCCTGTCTGACATTTATTGAATGCTCCTGCTCCCACTATGTTCCCCGCTCTTCTTTCTTTTTTCGTCTTTCCTCTTAAACCGTCATTTCTTCTCCCCACCGTCTCCTGTTCTTTCTCTTGCCACTATCTCATTTCCCCTCCTTCCTCTCCTTCTTTGCTTCGCTCTGCTCTGCTCTTGATTTTCTGTCCTATTCATGAAGTCTTGTTGCCCGAGGGTGTGTTTAAATTGCATCCTGAAAAAAAAAAAAAGAGTCACCGCAAAACCCCAGCTCTAGCCAGTCACAACTCACTGCCGCTATTTCCTCAGACCTTGTATGTCTGCATTATTCCATGGGGTTATTTTTCCTCCCCCCCTATTTTTTTTTTAATGATCTGTTGAATCATGAGCCATGTTTTCCTTCATTGTGGCATATTTATTTGCTTTCAATATAATTCTTTGCCCTGAGTTTGAACATATCCAGAGCAATAAGAGGTGCATTGTGTGTGCATGTGCTACATCAGACTCCTAATGTTCGCCTCTATCTCCTCCTCCTCCATCATTTTGGCCTAATTCCATCGTGACTCCTCCTTACTGGCAGCCATGCATTTCCAGTTCACTCCCATATGTGAAAGTCAGAGGGTAGGAGTGGAAGGGGCCGGTTCAGACTGGGCCTTTATTTGGGATTGGGTTGGAGTGGGTGGGTGGGTGCACACAGACGCTCACACACGAAGACACACACACACACACACACACTCTCGCGCACTCAAGCAAAAATCATCTCAATGGATGGTGACAGGGCTGTTTTTTTGCTACCGGCCATCGAATATTACAGTTTAACACTGGGTGAGTTTCCATATTCTTGTGTTAGAGCAACAACCACAGCCAGTGGTTATGCAAAAATGCTGTAATTTACAGTGGTTTCGCCGTGTTCTGCTGATGATCTGCAGTCTATTTAAAGAATAGAAACAGCAGCAGTATAATTGGGGCTTTGTCAGCTGTTTCCACCATCCTTATGTTGACACACCTCGCCAGCGTGCGCACCAGAACACGCTGAAACGCGCAGTGGGTGGTCACGGAACTGAGTAAGACATTATCTTATGATTATTGAGATAATACTGTACACCCGCGCCAGTCTCGGAGCAGCCCATCAATCAGGCAGCCATTCCGCACGCCAGCATGCCACGACACGAGTCGCCCTGAGAATGTGTAATTTTAGCCCGTCTTTGTTTGCTTACCCCCGCAATCCTTTGATCACAAGGACAAGACAGCGGCAGAAAGCAGAGGGGTCCTCTCAGAGTCCCACAGTAACTCATCCATTCGCAGTTTAACCTCGAGTGCGAGGCTTTCCACTAAGTGAACCCAAAGCTCCGGCGGAGCACTAAAAAAAAAAAAGTTGTAACCCAGGAACTCGGAGGGCCCGGTGCTTTGTTTAGTCTATGCCATTGAAAGGTGGATTCCCTCGGGTCATAATTATTACCAATAACAGAGCAGTTTCCTCGCGGCCGGAGTTTGGTAAACGGGCTCCGTGTATGTGTGTGTGTGTGTCGGTGTGTGTGTGTGTGGGGAGTGCACGCTCAGTGTTTCTTGTTGGTCCATCGATCAGATAAGCTTTTCCATTATCCAAGGCTTCAGTCTCTGCTTCCCATAGCCTCCCCTTATCAGACTCCACTGGGGCCACACACACACACACACACTCGCACACGCACGCACTCGCATGTACACACAGGTCAGCCTGATGCCCTTCACACACTATGGGTTAGATAGGGGAGCAAGGCAGTGCTGAGTGATGGTAGCACAAGGTGCTGACGTATGTATGTATGGGTTTGTGTGTGTGGATGTGTCAGGGAGGCCTTTTGCAATTGTAAGCACTTCTGGTCGGTAACCCTCTGATACTGGTGTGGTATCATTTGTGTCACTTCATTTGTTGTGCTTGGGTTGTGTTTGCGTCTGTGTGTGTGTGTGTGTGTGTGTGGGATGGGGGTAGGGGAGCATGTAATAGCAGATGTCATTGGGATTGGCTGAAAGAGCTGCAGTTTGGAACAGCAGGGTTGTATTTGCAAATCCTGGGTGGTCTTCTAATAGCTCTGGTCCTGCAGTTAACCTGCCTTTAACTGTAGGGTGTGTCCTACATTAAACGTCTATTTCCTGCCTCCCATGTTGGGCTATATAAAGCCGCTGTACCACTGACCTTGGCCTAGTCATTGTACAGTCATACAGCTGGTTTCCTTCACTGCTATTGGCAGATCTTTCCTTCTTTTTTTTTTGTGCACGTTTTCTTTTTTTGTACGTGTTTCTTCTCTCGTCGTGCCGCCGTTCTTTCCAATCTTTTACCTGTGCGCACGCATGCATTTCTTTACCAGTTTAACATAAGAGGTGTTAGTGCTCCACATCGGGGATGTTCCATTAGTGGCCGCAAATTTGAGCCTCCTGATCGCTCACAACTGGGAAAGGGCAGAGGACCCGATGCATTATGATGTGAGAATGAGTTCTCTTAGTGGAGCTGTGCGTTTGTGTGCTCGCTCGCTCGCGAGATGCACTTTGCTGAGTGACACAGAAGCATGTGCGAAAGACCGATGCTAAAAAAGACAGAGGGAGAAGGAAAAGAATGAGTCAGAAAACATGGAAGTGACAAGAGATAGACTGCGAGAAAGACAGAGAAATAAAAGGGGGGGAAAGAGGGAGGGGTGCTGGCACCAGCCTACTCAGGGCCAGATGTTTTGCGGCTAAAAAACTAGAGATGAATCAAAGCCATGTGAAGAGATTTATTAGGTTCCCATAGGAGCCCAGGCAGTATTACATGTAGCCCGCTCTGTTTACAGTGGCAAGAACCCTTAAACCACCCATCAACTACACTACTGGCTTGGCTGGGAATGTGAAGACTTTATATTTGGACTTACACAGGCTTTTGTCTTTATTCCATTTTTCTCCGTGAATGCGCTGGAGGAGTTGGAAGAGAAACACAAGGCTGTTTAGTCTGCGTGCGCGAGCCAGAATAGTCAGCTGTAGCTCTGCCCAGTACAGTAGCACCATCTGAATGTCTTTATTTGGCATCTGTTTCCCTCGATTTAGACTTGATTTCAGCCGCGTTGGGCCCTGCTCTGTCTGCTTCTCGTATTGGAAGAGTGACACAGTGTTTTCAGCTCCGACAACGCGGCGAACGCCGCTCGTTGTGATTCCAGAATTAATCTCTTATGGATCTGCCCTAATGCGGTCCATTTCAATAATATCGGTGATGGAATGCATGCCGTGCCCTCTTGTGTTAATGGCTACATCGGTAATGGATCCACACTGTATTGCCGCTAAGAGCTGACTGAATAATCTGCCCCTGCTGTGGCTGGAAATACTGAGCCAGCTGTTTAATGATGTCAGCGTGCCGGAGGGGAAACGAACACACTTCTGCACAGAGGTGCGCGAACGCACACAGCATGCCGGCGGACGGACTCGGGCACACACACACACACACGCACACACACAGACTCGGGGACGGACGGACGGACGCGGCAAGCGAAAGGCATCCGTCAGCGGCTGAACAGCTGAAGCGGCTTCAGTGGAAGGAAACGCCAAAGCCGCCACTGTCAAGACGACTCGGACGGCATGCAGCATTTTCTAATGCGTGGCGAGGAGAGAGGGGGATATTTAGACTACACTTACTGTCACATTTAATGGGCCTCCCTCTAGAGAATGCATCTCACCACTGAAACCGGAGTCGGTCTGACTGATTATTAATGTGATTTGTCATCCTTGCAGATCGATGCCCTGAGTAAGAGAAGTAAAGAAGCCGAGGCCGCCTTCTTGAACGTGTACAAGAAATTAATAGATGTCCCAGGTAAGACTGCTTTTAATTGGCCGGGCTCTCGCGGTTGGGGAAGAGCGTCTGTTTTAGACACGAGCTTAAGTAGGAAAAAAAAATAGCAAAACGACCAGGACACCCCGCCTTTGTTCACGCCGAGAGGGCCCTGTCAGGAGAAGGAGACACCGCCCCTTCAGGGCTGCTCGGCTGCTCACCCAGGCGTGCACGCAAAGCCTCAGCACGTCCCTGCAACATCCCATCCCCACAATCGCAGCTTTTAGATGTTCTTAGCAGAAGGTGCGTTCTGATGTGGATGACAAGTTTGCCCACGATTGGCTACAGTGAAACACACAGACACACACGAACGGGCGCGTTCAAAACACGGAAGACAGAAGAGTTCGAGGGAGCGCACAGTCGCAGTGCTGCCGGTTGGGGATTTTCAGCTGCACGGGAGCCCTGGAGAGGCCGTGCATGCAGGAAGGAGAGGAGCCAAGTTCATCTATAGCGTAAGGAGGTCATCATATTCCCACATGGATAGACCTACAGTAATATCTTTGGATTGTACTGCTCCCAATAAGTCAGCGCCAGCTCTGACGGGGCTATTCTTAACTTGCTGCGAGACAATGATGTAATGCCTGATGCACACACGCACACAGACACAGACCAGCCTGACTAATGCAGCAGTCTTGAAAGAGGAAACAGTGTGTTTTGTTCTGTCTTCTGTCAGCTGAAGGCCTGGTTAGTCAGCCCAGTGTGCTCTGCTTTAGATTAAAGGTGTCTGGCGAGAGCGTTCAGCACCAGTGGCCCACAAGTCAAACCGCTTTTAACAGGTTGAACAGTTGATCCGAGAAAAAAAAAAACACGAAACCGGGGGGGGGGGGAAACCAAATGAAGGACAAAACTTTGATAAGAGGGAGAGAAAGTTAATTTTCCAAGGACGCCGAAACAGATAGGAGTCTAAATTCAGAGCAAACAGTTGTGCTACTTAGTATTTGTTCTTATATGAGACTCTGCAAGTGAGAACTCGTGTTTATGTAAAGGTATACACGTGTGTGTGTGTGTGTGTGTGTGTGTGTCAGAGCGTAGCCCTGCATGGTGTGTCACCTTGACAGCATAAAATCAGCATGAAATTCCCCAATCGTTCTCTGCTGATCTCTCATTAGCATAGTTAAGATATCTAACTGCGTCAGACATGAGACACACACACACACACGCAGCCCTTACCCCCAGCTGTAAGCTGTCAGTTCCTCTTATCTGTACAACACACACACACGCACACACACACACACGTAAACACACACATGCATAAACTGCTCTTTTAGCTGGCATGCTGATGAGGGTCGCCTGCGTCTCTTGGCTGCCTGTCACCAGTCTGCCACCCATGAGCACCAATCAGATGTGATTGGCCTGACTGACAGGGCTCTCTTCATCACACTGACAGTTAACCCTGCTGTGTGCTCAGAGTTGTTGGGAAAGTGCCTGTAGAAAGTCGCCTTTCTTCCTCCTCTCTCTTGTGTTTTTAATATCTTATTTACCTTTTTTTTTTTCCCCGACTGTGTGTTTTTATGGCTCCACTTCGTCCGGATGTCTGCTTCCACGTTTCCCTTCTCTCCCACTCTCAATCTGCATCACAGCGGACTCTTTAGCCGATCACGGCCCCAGTAATCTCTCATCTTAATATGTCTCGTCTGTGGTCGATTCTGTTCGGACCGACCAGTATCGGCCGTACCGTTCTCTCTTTGCGGTGTCAGCAGCCGACGCGCCGGTTGTTCCTTCCACGCACAAAGCCGAATTTTTATCTCATCACTACAGCTTTTTTGATACACAGACTGATAGTGTATCATTTAATAGACTTCACTCAGAAGGTTTTATTGATACAGAATGTCACTACTAAACCATGACCTCTCCCAGGCTCCTGTAGGCTCGGGTAGCAACTCTTTTTGTTTGCTTTTTTCTAATCAGAAGTCCTATTTCATATTTAGATCAGAACAGTCGAGCCAAGAACAAGATCTTGTTTTATCAAATATGCTCTTTAAATGATAATGATGATAATGGAAACCCCTCCAGGATAGGGTGACCGTAGACACTGTTAGCCTTAGCGGGGAGCATGTTATTATGAATGAGCGCTTTAACAGAAAGATAACAAATACTATAACTTATGTTAATAAAAAGGACTGGGAGCCATCTGTATGGGGGGAAAAAAGCATCTTCTGAAATATTTATAAGTGAATTTCATGCACCACATTTTTGTTCGTGTCTCTTGAAATATACACAGATTCTGCCCGTTACTTATTTATGATCAAATAATGAAGGATCAGATGACGTTACTTCTACAAATACGATCAGACTCCGACCTGTGGTGCGGATGCATCAAAGCGTCTACGTTTAACCTACTTTAGCATAACATCTCCAGTAAATGGGATTTGTTTTTTTTTGTTTTTTGTTGTTTCTGGAATCATTCATTCTCCACAGTGAGATCAGAGGTGAGGGTCGGCTCCAAAACAGCTGTCCTCCAGCTGCTAGATTCATTGCCTTGCTCAAGGACGCCTCACCGGGGCAAACGCCCGCCCTCAGAGTGCCTTGACCGCGGCTATTCCCAGCACACTGGGCCACCCCGCCGCCCTTGCTTGTCTAATCTGCTCTGCGGCGTGTTTAATACGGTGTGTGTTCTCTCCACCAGACCCTGTACCTGTGTTAGAGCTGGCTCAGCAGCTGCAGCTGAAGCTCCAGAGGATGCACGACATTGAGACAGAGAACACCAAACTCCGAGAGACACTGGAGGACTACAACAAAGAGTTCGCCGAGGTTAAAAACCAAGGTCAGAGACGGGGAACGGCAGGTGCACCCATTCCTGACTTTCACCAGGACGTCGATGCCTTTTTAAACAAATCACAGTATCATTTGGGGGAATTAAAGTTTGAGAACATCCAACAACATATACAAGAACGTATAGGAAGACCGCTTTTGAACAGGTGTTTAAATGGAGGTAGAAAGACACTCATGGGAAGTTGTCATGGCAATAAGCAACACTTTTATTAAAGCGATGTTGATCATGATAATTACACAGACGTGCCTCCAAATCAGGACCAAGCATAGAACCAGAGGACCTTAGCAGGCTTCACACTAATAGCCCAGATTATTTCACTCACCTGTGCTGAAGTGAACAAAATTTGAGTGTTTATAGTTTTATTTTTGGTTGATAACCTTCTTTGGTTAACCATGACATTTTGTGAATTTCATATTTAACCATTATGTTTTCATCCTTTTGTGTGTCTTTTCTAAACCTGAGATTTAAAAAAAATGTAAGTCATGTAACGAAGATGAAAATATTTGAAGAATTAAGTATCAGATGTTACTGCCACCAAATAATTCAGTTTTTCAACATTTTTTATTAAAGATTTGTTTAAAGCCTTTAGCCCACTCAGTATCAGCCTGTTTTGACACTAATTCCAAACTTCAGTAGTACCATGTTGGAGAAAATCTGACCTCCTTCCAGCGAGGAAGAAACGACAATGATGCATGTAGATTTGAACACCATCACAAAACAAAAAGATTCGGGGCAAGATTTTCTCTGTGTCAGTCTGACAGAAGTGTACTGTTTCCATTCCGGCTGCTAGGTGAAACGTAAAGAGCTTTTAAGTGCAAATATAAGATTAAACAATTCTTCTTTGACTCTCTCTTCAAGGCTCGAATCCATATTTGAACATATTGGATGACTCATATATTTTTCAGAAACACAGAGAACGTACAAGGTTTTACATTTTCAAACAGATTTTGAAGAGGAAAAAAACATGAGGCGCAGAGTCATGAATAAGAAACGACGGGCTACCTTAGGGTAAAGGGAGATGGAAAAACTGACGAAGCCAGAGAGATGAGTGTCAAGTGGTAATAAAAGTGCTGCAATTTTGGTTGAAAAGAAGGAGTGACTGAGCGAGCAGGGAATGTTTTGGAATCCCCCTCTTCCTCAGCGAGAGTTAATTGGAACAGCTCGATACCGGCAGGGTTCCATTCTGCCATTGATTTTCCTGTTCCCTCATCCTTTATCCCTTCTTCCCGCCTCAATAGATGGGGGATATTTAAACCCCAAAACACACGCTGGAACTCCCACTCCTGTTAAACACACACGGATCCGCCTGCACGCTTTCCCATTCACACACACACCGAGACACACGGAGTGCAGAGGCCATTGATCCCCGCAACCTAAATGTTTAAAGTTCAGTTAAGCAGTTAAGGGGTAAGAGGGCTCTAAGGGGACTCTCCTCTATTGATTATGTGTCAGAGCAGTGAGACTGGAGTTTAAATCACACGCGTTCTCTCACACACACACACGCACACGGTGCTAAGAGCCCTCAGTCAAAGGCAGCAGGCAGCATTGCTCTATATCATTGTCTCACTCGGTTATATCTTTCTCAGAGAAGCACACACAAACACTCTCTTAACACGTGCAGAGTCCTGTTTATTACTCCAGTTATGCGCTAGATTTATCTCAGGCTGCCCCATACAGGGCTCAGCCGTCAGCAGGTTATGGGGTTTCAGGGCTAATGCAGCCCTAATGAATACGGCCTAGCTACTGCCGGCGGATGCTAAATGTTCTGTACCAGTCACGGATGTAAAGATTAGGCCGGAGCCATAGGGGCTGAGGTCTGTGCTGACAGAGGCAGAATGCTGGATATGAAATGCCGTCCCCTAAACTTAAGCGAAACCCCCCCATCGACGGCATCATCGTCACCGCCGCCATTTATCAAGCACAGGAAACGCTTGTGGTCTGGTTTCTGTGTGTTTTTTGCAAATTGCAGAGATTTTTATTCTTCCTTCCTTCTCTCAACACTTCTTTCTCTGCCCTGACCCTTCCTCAGAGGTGACCATAAAGGGCCTCAAGGAGAAGATCCGGGAGTACGAGCAGTCTTTGAAGAATCAGGCAGAGAACCTGGCTCAAGAGAAGCAACTCCAATTACACAACGACTATGCAGAGAAGGAGAGGTAAAGCTGTGTGTCTTTGTGCTATCCACACTGTTATTTTCGCCGTTTAAAGTCTCCAGGTCATTGTGCCCTCGGGCAGAACTCTGCTTCCTGATCTTTGAGTCTAACATTTGGGTCTCGTCAGAACTGTTCACAACTTAATAAACTCTTTTTTTTTTTTTTTTTAACAAACACGCCTTTTGAAACCGTTTTTCTGAATATCTGTGAAGTTAAATCAAGCCCAACACTGCCTTCATCAGGCTGATCTAATCATCAAATTGGTGCTTATTGTGTTCCTCTTGGACTTTTCTGTGAAAATGTCCACCGCCCTGGACCCTGCTTCGTATTTATCGGGACGTACCTCTGCAATCGTGCTGGAATTATTTCATCCCCCGCTCATTTTCTGGAAACAGAATGATTGTGACGTTCGGCTGTCACTTCATGTTGATCAACCAGATTACGGTACTTTCTTCTCCAGTAAAGGGAAGCACCTGAAGACTGGATGTAATAAATGGCTTAGAAGTGCTGCTGTGTATTCATACACACTTAAGAAATCTGATGTGACTGCTCAGAATGTATTAACTTGTACTGAGACACAAATCCTATGGTGACGCCCTTTCCCATGAAAAAGACCAGTCCATGTAAAGACAATTAAGTCAATTGCCTGAAATGTGGGAGGACATATAATTTCACCTAACACCTGAATGGACTTTTCCCCCCCTGACCTGCCAAATTTATAAAGTTTAATTTTGTGGTGAACGGGTTTGTGTTCACTCCGTGCCGCCCGCGTTGGCTCAGATAATACAAAGTCCACATTTAAAAGGACAGAATAGATGAACATTGTCTACAGTCTCTACGACGAAGTTTTTAGATTTCTCAGAAGTCAGTCGGATATCTCAACAGAACAGCAGGGGTCCCGTCTTCAACCACGCTGATGTACAGTCTTAGCTCCACGCAGAAAGCATTTTAAATTCCCTGAAATCCGTTCAGGTGTGAATTTTATTTTAGAAGAGACTCAATTACCCAGATGCCATCAAAGGTCTTTCTCGGTAATTGTTTTGCTTAGATATATTCATTTATCTTGATTCCCATGAATTGTGTTTGTAATAGAGCCTTAAAGTATCTTCTTATTTTTTTCCTTCCCCCACTCACTTTGTTTTCTTTATGGAGGTTTATTAACGCGTTTCGGACTTGGAGTAGAAGATCAATTGTCCGACTGTATTTCCTGTACGTCAGTGTTTTATAGGCCCCTTCCTGTCTGCAGAGAGCCGACTTCCTGTGTCTGAGAGGGGTACTAAATGGATGGCACCTCCTTATGCATTTTTATCTTGCGAGGATTGAGGGAAGGAGAAGGAGACAGATGAAAGGATGAAGTAGAGGGCAAAAAAATAGAGATGACAGGGGAGACAGATTGGCAGAGAGAGGGAGGTTCAAAGAGTGTCATAAAGACCATCTTTGTACTAGATTATTGATGTTTTTACACGCAGTGGCAATTTCTGTTCGGAGCCCAACTTTTTATATGCTAGGAATGAATCTGTTTTATCCTTGTGGTTTTTCTGTCGCCCCCTCCCCCCGCTTACTCAACCCGGCTCCCCTCCACCCCCCGGGTGCAGCGTGCCCCAGTGGCCAGACATTCCTGCCTAATAAGGCTGCTTAATGAGGAGTGGGTTGTGTTGGGGAGGATTTTAGTGAGGAAAACACTTCAGAAATGGTGGGAAAATAGAGACTAGTTAGAGTTGCTACGAAGTGTGAACCCCAGATTGAATGACTCACTGTCTTTTAACTGTGACTTTCTACTTCCTGTTCTGTCCTTTTTTCTTTTTTTTTTTGCCTCTGTAGAAAACTCCAGGAGAGCCAGGACTCCATGTCCTCAAGGTTGGAAGAGGCTGAACACAAGGTCCAGTCCCTCCAGACAGGTACCAACCCAGTCAGTCTTATCAACCCTCTGACCCGGCTCAGATACAGTAGGCTTCTCAGTGGAAATTAATTGGCATTAAATGATCTGAAAGTTGTATTTTTCTTTTCTTTTTTTTGTACTCACTACTTTTTTTTGGGGTACTTTTTTATATTCTGTTAAATGGGCCTTTATTGGCTATTATGTGGAAGAAAAAAAAAACATTGCTAGTAATTAAGTTAATCTGCTTCATCTGGACTAGGTGGGTGTGGTTTGATTAAATTGACAGTGGCAGCAGAGGCAAACAACTCGCCACTTTCTTTTCACATCTAAAAAAAAAAAACCTCAAGGTCAAAAATAGCTAATGTGACATATCCCTTTTTTCTAATCTGACCAACAAAAAAAGAAGCGTGCGTTCATTTGGAGCGTGAGCTTATAACTGGCTGGAAAACAGATGTTGAGGAAAATCTGTTGCAAGCTCTTTTTTTGGCCGCCGACTTGAGACACAACTGACTCTTTTCCCCATCTTTTTCCAGCACTTGAAACAACTCAGGCCGAGCTCTTTGATTTGAAGACGAAGTATGACGAGGAAACGACAGCAAAGTACGTGTCTTACTGACCCACATGTATGTTCGCCGACAACCTCGACCCCTCTGGCTCCTCCATATTCTGTTCCCGACATAAACGTCCTGTTTAGTGAATCTCCCTCCCTGGAAACTCCCCCCTCTCTGCCTAACAGCTGGAATGTCTCCCACAACGCTCGGCAGCCTCCGAATCCCAGCATTACCCACACACTGAAAATACTGAAGGAGATTGTAATGTATTCTGCAGCCTCCACAAGATGAGGAATAGATCTCTTTTAGTTTAGAGAGCTTTGTATGATTCATGAGAGTTGTACCAGAGAAGTTAAGGGGCGGCGGGAGGGGGGTCACTTTGAGAACTCTGACTTAAAAACCACACAGGTATTCTAACAAGACTCAAAAGATAAAGGTAGCTTCAGTTACTTGAGCAGTGTGCATCTATCATTATTGATCTTATGCTGGTGGCCAGGATGAGAACAGAAGCTTTTTCATGTTGGCACTCGGCAATGTGAAGAGCCACTTTTTGACATTCACACTCTCCATTCCCCCAGGGTTACTGGTGGGAACCAGAACCACTTGAGTGTCCGAACCTCTCGCAAATAAAAAAAAAAAAAATTCCAAGAGGCAAAAAGTGAGGATTTGATGGTGTTTTATTGATAATTGGTGTACCGCAAAAAACGCGTTGCACTCTCCTCGAAACATGAACTCCTCTGCTAAATCCAAGGTTGCTAATAATATGGTGAAGGGCATCCTGTCTGCGCGCTCAAAGAACAGCAGAACTCGGCTTTTAAGCCGGCCGCATCCGATCCCGCTCACCCTGCCCCAAACCGTCTCGCCATTAACGGTGTTGTTAAATTGATTGGCTGTTAAAGCGGATCGATCCATCTTCTGTCTTCCTCAGAATATTTCCTTTCTCCTCTCCGCCTCCCACGCTTTGTCTTTTATCGTCTACCCCGCGCGTTTGTGTGAGAGAGGAAAGGCCACAGGAAGGTATTGCGTGCCGTGTAATGCTACTGATCAATAGGTTTCCTTGTCTGTCAGATGGCCTCTGTGCCTCTCCGTCTCCCGACTCCGTTGCACTTCTCCACTTGGACTTCTTTTTTCCGCCCGGCGCTCTTCCCTCTTTTTGTCCCTTTTATTTATTTATTTTTGTCAGAGGAAAACAAAATTTTTGAAGAGACTACTTATTGTAGCCCCCGTTAGCTTACAGAAGGTAATAAGCACATGCCCGCCCACATCCACACACTCACTCTCTCACTCACTCGTGCGCCCGAGGCAGTCAGGGTCCTTGACTATGTGGCGTGCTGTGATCTGAAATTTTAATGCAACGCTTTAAAGCGCACACAAACCCTCTCTAACCCTGCACCCTCCCAGTCCTTGGAGTCCTTCCCCCGTTTACTGCTTGGCTGAGCAAATCGCCAGTGTTTGGCTGAACACAACTTTTAACCCTTTAACGGCATATATTTTGGCACAACAAAACAAAAAACGCCGTTTATATCATGCATTTTTTTCCACACAGACACGGACGCACACACGCACGCTCTAAACTTTCCACCGAGGAGGACATTGCGTGACAAATCCCCCCATCCTCTTGCTGCATTTGGATAATCTGCCTTTTAAAATAAGCACCAACACACTGGAGGACTAACACACACACACACACACACACACACACACACACAGGGGTGTACACCGGCTCCCTAACAATTTGGTCGATGTTACAGTGCCCAGAATGTGTGTGAGAGTCAGCGGGAGTCCGGCCTGTAGATGTAACGTAGCCCCCTCTCTGTGTCGGCACTGCGAGGGTCTGGCTGGCCGCGTTTTAATCGTTTAGTCCCTGTTAAAGATTAATGATATATTGATCTCCCGCCCCGCAGGATGCTGCGCGAGGGTGTGCGCGCGCTCGCGATCGCTTATGCATGTTTATGTATGTGTACCCATTTCTGTCTATAGAGGGCTTGAGATCGCTCTGGTAACCATTTAATTGCTGATAATTAGGCGGCAGTAGGCTTTGCTCTCCTGTGTCCATCTCAAGCGCACGTAAACACAAAATGGCGTACAATACACACACACACACTCAGACACACTCTCACAGCTTGCTTTTCTTTAAGCCTCCTTGAAATCCCCAAGGTAACACGCTGTGAAAACGCAATGTGGAGAAAGCCAAGGAAAGAAAAGGAATGGAGTGATGAAAGCTGGAGGGCAAAAAGCAAGGCAGGGGCTGGAGGCTGGAGCGAGGAAGAGGGGATAACACTGTGATAGAGGAGGGAAATGAAAATCTAAATCAGGGGAATATCCTGCTGGCACTGAGGACAGAGGCCGAGGAAGACAGGGCGAAAGATGAGAAAGGGGAGGTGGAAGGAAAATAGATGAAAAAAAGGGGGGTTGGAGGGGGGGGGGGGGGGGCAACCGGGGAAGGGAGTAGTTGAGGGGAAGAAATGGAGGCAGGCAGAGGGTGAAAAAGCAGAGGAGCGGTAGAGTGAGGAGCAGGGGATGATAAGAGATGAAAAGGCCTGTCTGAGATGGAGGAAATACAGTGGGGGCTTAGAGGCTCGGGGTTTGTTTCAGAAGTCCAGCACTGATGTCACTGGGTGCACCCCTTGGCTTTCATGGTACCAAAGAAGTGAGTGTAAGTGTGCGGCTTTCATGAGCTTTCCAACACACCGACTCCACTGCGCCTCCCTGTGGCTGCCGTGCAAGGCGTCGCGAGGGAGTTTCGGCGACACAAATTTGGACTCCGCGTCGCGGAAGACTTCGGCCTTTTGTCGTCGAGCGAAATCGACGACGGCGGCCGCAGCGGCGAGCCATTAGCGGCTAGCCATTAGCGGCCCCCTGCTCTGCCCAGTGACTCACTGACTGTATCAGGATATGCAGAAAATCCCCTCCCTGTGATCTGCTTTGGCTTTCAGCCTCTAGCTTTGCCTTTATAATTCCCAAATACAGCCAAATCCAGAGGTTATTTAAGAAGACTTTGTGCATCTGCACTTTGATTAAATGATCACATTTGGAACAGGAGTGCTGGTGTATTTGGGGAGCATTACTGCACATAAACGCTCTCCATTACAAGCTTTTCTAGCTTGTTGGCTGTGCGACCTTACATGTGTGCGAGTGCGTGAGAGGGACAGAGCGCACGTGGGTCCCACACACTATAGCTTAAGACAGGATAAAAGCTGTTGAGGTAGTAAACTATTATGTTGCTTAAATACATACCAGATCCTTTTAAGTATTACGGAAAGAATAAAGCAGAGAGCGAAAAGCTCTCCCACCCACATCTGACTCTTTTTTGCTGCATTGCCCGTGGCACAATGTTGACCTAATATCAACTGTGTCTGTTTTGTTAAACACATTCAAATGAGTAGTACTCAAGCCTATGGGACGCAGCACTGTTTCTCATACTGTGGCACACAAACACAAAAGCTGCGTGGGCTATTGGGTTCACGATCAAAAGATTGCAGTCAAATCAAAAGGTCCTAATGGACGCAGCAGCGCACATATGTGCTCACTTCCCTGCACTCAGTGGCGCTCATGCCCTCCTATCAGTGAGTAATGTCTTTAATAAACATGGCCGCATATGCCCTGCATCTTTTCGCTGCGTTGAGCACTGTTCACGGGGGTCAATATTTCCATACTTCCTCACACGATGCAGCGTATTGGCGACTTATCCGGGCCCCCACACGCACTATGTCAACTACCTAACAGACACATTAATACTTAATAGAGCAGTTTGGGAGATAATGTGAAAGACAAGGTTTACAAATAATCGCATTAAATGTGTATCTGCATTTTTTTAAGGGGTTTTCTAAAAACAAAAAAAAAAAGTGATGAATAATCATATCACTGAAGGAGACGGAGCAAAAGCAAAAAATTTTTCCCCAGAGTCCAACCACAGGTGATGTTTTGAGGGGATACTCTTGCCGTCTGACCTCTTGCGATTCAGAGGTGAACCATGGCCTCCATCCAGACCATTAGTCAGACACAATCACACAGCTTCATAGCAGATTAGTCTGCTGTATTAGGACTTAGAGCTCTATTATTGTAATCCCTCTGTTTTAGTGTGGCCTGGGTTTAGGGGCTTACGTGTGCACACCCACATGCAGACACACACACACACACTTAGTTTTAAATACATGTATGCACACACACATACAAGCTGTTTGGGTTATCAAGTTCACAATCAATGGATTAAAGTGAAATTTAGACAGTAGCTTAATGGATGCGGCATTCTCTAAATGTGTGTCCTCTGAACAATTGTGTGAACATGTGATGTGTACAGAGTGTTCTCTTCTAACAATTAATCCATAACTTTTCTTTTTTTGGGGGCACATATTAGTGTGTGTCTTTGCAGCACTGCCACATCCTCTGTGATTGTCGTTAGATTAATTCTAAATATCTTTCATAGGGCCGACGAGATTGAGATGGTGATGACAGACCTTGAGAGAGCCAATCAGGTAAATCTGCTCAATGTATACTACCCTCTTTCCCCCCCCCCATTTTTTTTTGTAATGATAGATTTTTTTTTCTCTTTTTTTTTAATGAGCAAATTACATCGGCATGTTTCAGAATCTACTTTTGCACGGACCAAAATTCTTGTAGAATCAAGTCCCACTAGGTAACCCGTTCCTTCGTTTAGTTAAACATAGGCTTTGAACAGTTTCAGGTTTACCCCACACATGCTGGCTGGCTGCTGTAAATATTCACCAGAGCACATTAATCCGTGCCTGAAAATAGTTTCGGAATAAATGCACCGTTTATTCGACTTTGAGTAACATTAGTGTCCAGCTGTTTTAAGGAACTGTTGAGCTTTTCCGGGGAAAACATGTACCGTCTCTCTTTGACCCTTTCAGTTTTTTTTTTCTAAGTGAGCCTGTTTTTCAGACCGTCTGGTTTGGACATTTTAAAAGGAACACAGATATTCCAAAAGCAGAAAGATATTCATGATCAATAAAACAATTAAAAAAGTGGTGAATCACTTATCATGGCGATCGTAGCTGTCTGTTTCATGTGTACACCTACTAAACCCATTCGGCTGAAATAAGCCCCCCAGCACACCCTCTGCCCTCATGTTGTAAATATTCTTGTGGTATCTTTTAATGTCATCGTTGTTAACTTTCATTGTTAGCCCAAGAGTATGATTTGCGGTTAAAGGGGTAGCATAGGCATGTAATGTTAATATTAGCCTAAAGGTTAACTCTGCAACCATAATGCCCCACATCCACAAACACACACACTGTTCACACTTCTGATTTGAGGTTTACAGAGGGTGACAGCATGGCCTCCAGCTCATTGAGACTTTTTATATGCTTTTATAAGAAGAAAATGGAAAACAGGATTTTCTTTGAGACTCGCACCCCAACTCCCAGCCAGTCAATAACAGCTCTCAATATGGTTGCAATTAGGAACACTGTAGAATCGGCTTCCTGTAACTCCTAATGATGGCGAGTTGGCCGGTGTTGTAGATGATTCCCAACTGCAGAACGGTGGTGTGCTTATGCATTCGGGGCAGGGGGGTTATTATCTAAGCTTCCGAGAATGATTTACCAAATATTTTTTGTGAAAGAAAATTCCACTGCACTTTTACTTCTGACCGTCTCAGTTCTGTAAGGGATCAACTTCTCCTTCGTCCGGCAACACCACCGTTTGACGGTCAGGGAGTCTTGTGTAGTGGAAAATCTTTTTACTTCAATTCTATTACTGTTTTGTGCCATGCTTATGCAACACAGAGTTCACCCGACAGTATCATGTAGCCGGTGAAAAAACCTCCATCATAAACGGCTTGGGTTTCGATGACTGCATACCCCCGACTAATAAATTGACATGTCTCGCACAGTGCGGTCTGGGCTTTTTTCTTCATCTGTTGACTATGTTTGAAGTTATTCAAGATGGCGAATAGCTAATTGAAACAGGCTCAAATTTAAGAGAGGCCGTTTACACCCGAACGGCGGCTCAGCCGAGCTACATCAAACGGCTGGGTTTGAATTCAGATTGTGCTGTAAGAACCTTTCAATGCAGGATCTTCCTTTTACACGAGTCCATTCTCTTTCAGCGAGTGGAGGCCTCTCAGAGGGAGGCGGAGGCACTCAGAGAGCAGCTGTCTTTAAAACACCAATCCCAGCCACTCAGCAGCCCGGCCAGGGCCGACCCCGACACGGTAACACCTTCTATTGATTCACTGGATTGTTGGCAAAAAAACAAAACTAAAACGGTATCGATGAGCTAAAAGTTAGCTTTGAATGCTAGCTGCACTCTCGCAAAATAGTGTCCCGGGAGGTCGTGTACTGATCAACAGTGATCATCAGGTGATTGATGTCTTGATTAGCACATTTATGGGGATAATAGAGCGCATTAAACCTCCAACAGACGAGATCTACCGGCCAAACAGCAGCCCGGCAACTTCCCCGAGTGTTTGTGTCTAAGGAGCTCTTTAATAAAGGAAGCTTTCGGCCTTTTCCCCCGTAGGAACAGGCCGCAGAGGTGGCGTCGCACTCGAGTCTGGAGGTGGAGCTCAGGGCCAAAGAAAGGGAGACTGCCCAGCTGGTGGAGGATGTCCAGAGACTGCAGGCCAGCCTGACCAAACTCCGAGAGACCACCAGCTCCCAGATCACCGAGCTGGAGCAGCAGCTTAGCAGCAAGTCTGCAGTTCTCAAGGTGCCAACCAAAGCCATCTCAAGCATTTTTCAGGGCTTTTTGTAGAGGACTTTTTTATTCCTTTGATGCGTTTGCCATTATTGTAGTAAGACTATTTTGTTTTCTTGTCTTGTCCTTGCTTTGCTCAGTATTCTTCTTAAATGTGTAGCTTTACTTGCATTTATTTGCTGCTTTATCTAAACTTGAGTAAATGTCACATAGGGTAAGGGTTTCTTCATTATTTATGTTGAATTTCTTTGCATTCTGCAGGAACTGGAGGAGAAACTGGAGAAGCAGGCCGATTATGAGGAAGTGAAGAAGGAGTTAAGGTGAGAAGCAAAGAGCCAGAACTGCATGGCTTCATTTCATGTAGGAAACTCGACTGAATACCCTTTGAATGTGAAGCTTGACCTGGTTTTGCCGCTTTCCTTTCTTTCTGTTACTACGTTGTCCTTGAAAAGACAAAGAAATAAAAATTAGCATGCTATATAACAGGTGTGTATTTGCAGAGATTATTGTCGGAGCATGAATGTTATTTTTATCTCTTTTCTCAGTATCCTTAAGGCCATGGAGTTTGGAACATCAGAGTCTGTTCAGGTAAAACAGACTTTGGTTACTGTAGAAGTAAATGTGGCTTTAGCCAAGTTAATAACAAACACATGTGTGTATATAAATCTGTACAAAAGTACACATGACCCAGCCATTGTGCAGGTGAATCCAAAAGGTCCCTTTTTTATAGCATTCAAAACTCTGCTCTCCGTCAGGATTCTTCCAAACCTCTGGAGGTGCTGTTGCTGGAAAGGAACCGCACTCTTCAATCAGAAAGTGCTGCTCTACGCATTGCCAACACTGAGCTGAGCGGTAAGTCCCACTGTGCCCAAATGTGAAGAGATTGTGAAGAATCTCTTCCAAAAAACTGCGCGTTCTACCCAGATCAAAGGGAAAGAAGCTGAGTTCAGAGTTTTTAAATGCTCCGCTCCCGGTAAGGCTGTGCAGACAGAGCACAGACAGGTGAATCAGGGAGGCGATTACACGGCCGGTGGCATTCAAAAGTTCCCCTGTAAAGATTTCTGATGCTGTGCTCGGTTACAGAATTATACAACTGAAACAAACCAAAAACAGAATTAGTCAGAAATTAGTTTTCCAAAAGCCACAGTTAATATTTACTCCCCAACATTTATCCCGAAATAAAGGCAGTGTTCCACATTTATGACATTCTTTTTTTTTTTTACAAAAATCTGAAGCCTTGATTTATTTGTAAAGGATTTGTCTTGCTCACGTTATTGTTCGGAAAGGTCGGGCGATGCATATTTCAGATACGAAAGAAGTCTCTCAGATAAGCAGTGAGTAGAAGTAGGAGGTAAAATCAGATTTCATTAAAAGAATCCCTCCGTTACTCATAGAGGTGGGTCTGACTGCAGATCCAGCCTTTAGCACCGGGAGCGTCTCACAGCCAGACAGAAGAACGCTGAACTGTTCCTTCTTATCATGGAACTTGCTGAAGAGGTTTTTAGAGAGCAGTGACCGTACAGGCCACCGATGCTTTTGCCTGGGAAACCTTTTCTTTATTTTTGAAGCGGCAAAGGGTTTTGTTTAAATATTAAATGAGTCATGTTTAATGCGATGCCCCTTTGGAAATCTAGGACACCGTTTTCCCGTAGCTGTGCACAGATCAGATGAGAGAATTTGGAGAACGTTTTAATGCCACCCGATGTTGAAACAGAAATAGTTTTTCTCTGAGAATACTTTTTCTTTCTTTTTTTGTCACATCCATCCACACATTCATTGTTTGAGAACTTGTTCATGGTGGTACAGCAGTGGGGTTGCTTTAGCCCCTCGCCTCACGGGGGGGGAGGAAAAAATAGATTTTGTTGTGTCTCCTAAATGTCCAGCACGAGGCCATCCTGAATGGTTTTGAAAAAAAGAAAAATGAGGACACCATGCTATGCTCCCCACATCAGGAATGTTGTCCTCTGAAACAGTGTTTATGGGTTTGAAATGCCATTGCTCCAGGCTTGAATAGCTGAATAGCTTTGAATTGATTAACATTCACAGTAAGGGGAACTTACTGTCTCATTCAATCATGTTAAGTCTCCGTGGTTATGCATTAGAATAATTCTCTCAAGCAATCATCATCAAGATGTATTCAAGTAGTTACAAGATGGATTTTTTTTTTAATACATGTGTTTGTGGTGAATGTACAACTGGTGTCAGTCTAACTTAACTTTGAGACCGCAGAGCTGTGAAGTGCTTGTTTTCAAACATACACCTCTTTTTTCTTGTCTAGCCATAAAATTGTTTGTCAAAAAAAGTTGTGTTTCCCTTTTTGTTTTTGTTTTACTCCTGTATATATTTTATGATGAACTAAAGACTTTGAAACTGCATCTCCAACGGATTAAAACCCACCCATAAACCAACACTGGAGAACGCACGACAGCATCAACAAAGAGGACTCCTGTGGTGGTTTGGCTATCTAAGGACATCTTTTTACTCTGTCCAGTCATTTGTGCTCTGCCTACAAGAAAAAAAGAGAGAAGGAAAGGAGCCTTGGGCCAACCCAATCTTCCCAAAGTGGCACAGTGACAACTCTTTTTGTTTTTGACCTCTGTTTCATTTTCTTCCAGGCTGTGGCTTACAAGAAAGGTTGAAATCACAAATGCATGGGCACTTTGTCTGGGGGGGGTTGGCAAAAAAGGAAAAGAAAGTTCACTAATTTGGAAAAGACTCGACTAAGATAACTTTCAACATCTTTATTTTTTTTATATTTTTTCACCTGTTTTGGAACCCCTTTTTTGTTGACTCCCCCATAATGCATAGTGTGTTTGACCTTTCTTGTAGGGTCAGCCGGGCGAAAAGGGACAGAAGAGTCCGCAACCAAGGAGGAGACGGCGAACAGCGACCCCTCTTCCTCGCCCCCTCCTCCCCCTCCCTCTCTCCCCTCCTCCTCTCAGCTTCCCCTGTCTCGTACTCATACAGACCCCCTCAACACTGCCACCACCAGCAGCAGCGAAACGCACCCTTTCACTCCTACGGGCATTGGACAGGACCTGTACTCCCCCGTGTTCCCTTTGGTGGGGGGCAAGATGGCTTTGAACTCGCTGATTCAGCGGCAGCTGCTCCAGACCTTCTACTCAAAAGCCTTGCAGGACTCGTCCGGACTCCACAGCGGGGCTCTGCTCTTCACGCCCTTCACTCCCACCCTCAGCTCCATCCCTACCTCCACCCCCGGGTCGGGGGCCGCCGCCATCCCCCTGGCGGCCAGCAGCCCCCAGCCGCCCCCGGCCAGCCCGGACATGGCCCCCGTGAACGGGAGCAGCACGGCGGGCAGCGCCCCGTCCCCGTCGCCCAGCCACTCGGACGCCACCAGCGGCAGCGTGCTGGACGGCGAGGACATGGACACGGCCGAGATCGCCCGGCAGGTGAAAGAGCAGCTGATCAAGCACAACATCGGCCAGCGCGTCTTCGGCCACTACGTGCTGGGACTGTCGCAGGGCTCGGTCAGCGAGATCCTGGCCCGACCAAAGCCGTGGAACAAGCTCACCATCCGGGGGAAGGAGCCCTTCCACAAGATGAGGCAGTTCCTGGCGGACGAGCAGAACATCCTGGCGCTGCGCAGCATCCAGGGCCGGCAGAGAGGTCAGTCAGCGTGTCTTTCCACGTGTCTGTTTGTGAAAGAGCCTGAGTGTGCGTCCTGTCTGTGTGTGTGCGTGTGTGTGTGCGCGCACAGCCTTACACAGAGCCATCGATTAGCTCGTCAATATGGGCTAGCTATTTATTTTTCTTCTTCTTTTCTAACTCTTATGCTGTGCCACACCTGTGTGTTTTTGAATGTGTTCTTAGTCACGCACTGATCCCAAGAGCTTCTCCTTTGCTATTGCGGTCAATACAGAAACCTTTCACACATCAATAGTATTGACCGATGGGACCTAGGAGGAAGGCAGGGCTACTGTTAACTGCGGGTAGATTCGATTAGCCTGGGCCTGCTTTTCTTAACGCATCAGGACATTTCCGATTAAAGGAGGTCTCAGTGGTACAAAAAATGTAACAAAATTTGCCAGTGAGCCATAGACCGTCTATACTAAGCAAATGCTCCAGTCAGTATGGCTCCGTTTGAAGCTTGCTCTCAAGTTACGAATCCTCCCCAGTTTGTTGCCGTCGTGGTTTTACCATTTCAGTTTGAGTTGAAGTTTCGTTCCCACTGAGGCCACAGATGTTTAAGATCAATGCATTTATGGCACTCTATAATGTGCATTGGATGGAACAAACACTCCCCGTATTTGTAGAGCACTGTAAGGCACCATATAGTCTAGCTGTAAAAGACAAGGAAGGGAAAAAAAAAACAAAAAAACACACAAGTGCTGTAACATAGTGTGTGGTATATTGTTTTTAACAGAGGGCTCAGGCCAGCCCCAGCTTAGCCGAGTGTTTCAGGATGTTCCGAAGCGGAGAACCCTCTCCGATACAGCCTCGCACACAGGTCTGTCCCCCTTCACATGCAGAGATTGTAGCACGTTCTGTCTGTGTGGCATGTTAGTGTTGGGGTGAACTGTATCCATGGTGTGTGAGTGTGCGTGTGTTGCTGTTTATTAATTGCGGCTAGGCAAAGCGATATAAACGTGCCTGGAACGTAACCGCACAGTTCCAGTGACTTGCGTCAAAGGAAAAGCTAGCATGTGTTTTTAGGGTTTTTATTGGTAGTTGTTATTCTGCGGGGAGCAGCCGTTCTACAAACCCTGCAGACGTGTGCATGTGTACACTCCAAAGGGAACAAACACTTTAAGACCACCGCTCTAGTTCAGTTGCCTTGTAGCTCAGTGGTGGGAATGCTGTTCTTTGTGTGCTATGGTGTAATTATCTCACGTCCTTATAGGCCCCATTATTTTCTTCTTTGTATGCTCCGTTGGTTAAGTTTTGCTTTTTAATCTTAACATGATTTCTCATCTCCTCCTACTCCCCCGTGCCCTCATCCTTTCCTCCAGGTAACATCACTGCTCGTGTCCGCACCCCCGAGGCCGGCTCAGATGAAGCTATCAAATCCATTCTGGAACAAGCCAAAAGAGAGCTGCAGGTGCAGAAAGCTGGTGAGTTGCAGTTTTTCTGCCCTCCGAAGGATGAGAGATTGCCACGTCATGTCTGTGTTATTCATGAGAGCCGTTTTTCTTCTTCTCTTTCAGTAGACTTGTCCCATGCTCAGCCGTCATATGTGGGACTGAAAGGAGGGGGTGGGGGTGGAGTAGGAAGCGGAGGAGGCAGCGGATCTGACGAAGCCATCCGCTCGATCTTAGAGCAAGCACGCAGAGAGATGGAGGCTCAACAGGCTGCCCTGGAACCCATACTCAAAGCTTCGTCCTCATCTTCCTCCTCCGCCTCACTATCTCAGAGGGACATGCTGAGCTCCCCTCTCACCGCTCCCCTTCCCCCTTACAACCCCTTGGCACTTTCCCTCAAGAAGCCTCCCAGCTCCCTCTTGTCTTCGCCCTCGTCTCCATCTCCAGTCCTCGACTTCAGCTCCAGCGTGAAGAGAGAGGGCCGAGCTTCTTCAGGGATCGACATGTCTGCTGACGGAGCGCTCCGGCTGGGCCGTGCTTCGGAGGGCTCCACCCGCTCCGTAAGTGCCGGAGGAGTGGGCTACTGGAGGGAGCAGTGGTGGAGCAATATGCACTCAGACCCCCGACGGACCATGTCCAACCAGGCCGGAGAGGAGAACCACAATCAGGAGGATTCCAAAGAGGTAAGGATGCACACGGAGCTCATTTTTCCAGCGTCGCCGTCGTGATTTGCATTCCTGAGCCCTTCCCTTTGTGCGTGTCCCAGGGAATACTGAGTGACAGCCTGTCGCGACACAAACCGTGGAACAAGCTGAACCAGAGGAGCAGAGAGCCATATCTTCGCATGCAACCGTGGCTCAACGGAGACCAGGGGCAAAACGCACACGTCCAGCAAGCTCAAAACCAAGGTAAACAAAGGACATGTGTGCAGACAGTCACCAGCACACGCCGCACGGAGCCACACAGCCACACCATCAGCGGGCCCGGGATTAATCTGAAAGCCTGATTAGAGCCCGTGGCAAGTTGTTGCTGTCAGTCTGTCACTCACCCCACCCACACCCCATGCCCTCCTCCTCTCTCCTCCCTCCCTGCTACCCATCCCCTCGCTTCTACCCCCCCCCCCCCCCCCACCCCTCCTCGGTGCTGTGGCAGTGTCAGCCAGCAAGCTGCTGGTTTGTCATGTCATAGACAAGTTAGTGTTGCAGCGCCAGATGGCAGCTCTGTACGCGTGTGTGCGTGCGTGCGTTTGCCGTGGGTGTGTGCGCGCGTGTGTGTGTGTCTCTCTGTTTCTCTCTGGGGGTGTAAACAGCAGCTAATGTACACTGACAGCTCCTCATGACTGCTCTCTTCCAGCCTGCTGAGCTGCACAGCAGTGCTACACAGACAGAGACAGGGAGATGAAGGAATAAGAGGCGGAAGCCAAAAAAGCTTCAAACTGAAAATTTAAGCACCTTTTGCTGCCTTAACAGGAGTTAAATTAGCCGCCGTAGTTTGACTGAAGTTTCTCCTTGTCCCAGCAGGGTGCGAAGCCGAAGCCGTTTCCTTACTAAGTGTAACGTGTCGCCTCACCAGTACGATCTCTGTCGCCCTGTCTGTTCTCCTCAAACAGAGGGTACTCCCAAGACATCCGCGAGCTGCAGCCCCGCTCCCGAGTCCCCCCTCAGTTCAGCAGAAGAGTCAGTCAATGGTCTTAGTGGGGATCCACTCACTTCCCAGTCCTCCAGTCTCAAACCTCCATCTGAAGATCCGTCAGGTGGGGAGTCTCAACCCGGTACTCCACTTCCTCTGCCCGGCCACTCGGGCCTCAGCATCCAGGAGATGGTTGCAATGTCTCCCGAGCTTGATACTTACGCCATCACCAAGAAGGTTAAGGAGGTGCTAACTGATAATAACCTTGGTAAGGCATTTAATGGGGCTTTATTTGCTTTCTCCCGTTTTGTATTTATGCGGTTAAGTTTCTTGTCCTTGTCTTCCATATTGATTGGATTTTTCCGCCACTGAATCGGTTTGCCGGAATGACGTTTTATTTTTTTTTTCCCCCCCCCCCCCCCTCTATTTCTTGCCACACCAGGCCAGCGTCTTTTTGGGGAGACTATCCTGGGTCTGACTCAGGGATCTGTCTCAGACCTGCTCGCCAGGCCCAAACCCTGGCACAAACTGAGTCTGAAAGGCAGGGAGCCCTTTGTCCGCATGCAGCTCTGGCTCCAGGACCCACACAGTGTGGAGAAACTCATGGACATGAAACGCCTAGAGAAGAAAGGTGTGTAACAAAAGCTCAATGAGTTGGAAAGAAATGCACAGTCCATACGGCCCAGCCCGCTGTCGGGAGCGATAAACAAAAAAAGCTCACAGAGACGGCTTCATGCTATCTGCTTCAGTTTTATTTTATAAATATGTTCACGAAAAAACACAAGCGGCGAACTTTGAGCCACACACATGCACATCCGTGCACACAATATCCTTTGTGCAGGACAGCAGAGCATGTTGTGCAGATCACAGTCATCTTGGTGTGATGTCAGTAGCAATCAAGACCGCAGACATCACAAACCGGATTCGATGTGACAGCTAGGGGACTGCCGGGGGCCTGCTTACTCACAGTCATCAGCACTCCTCTTCATCATAGTCATCATCATCATAATCATCATCAGTGTCTATAAGCTCGTATCTTTATCATTTGCTAGCCCATAATGTCACTTCTCCCCAGCGCGTTCTCCCCTGGCAGCAGGGTTTCGTAAAAGAATCAGCAAAGCCAAGAGGCCTCACCCGCCCAGCTGCCCCAGATTGACCCCCCAACTGCCCACTCCGAGCACTCGTCTGAACCCGCCAGTGGGCGCAGCCGTTCAGGATCGGTTTACCTTACCGACGTTGCAAACAACACGCAAAGAGCAAAATGCAAAACCCGACCCCGTGCCCCGTCCGTGTGGAGGGTTCGGACCGGTGGGGGTTGTTATTGACCAAACGTAATGCATCCAAATAGAAATGGGCAACAGTCGTGGCCACCAGCAGAGCCCAGAGGAAAGACATGGACCTAATCTGCAGTAACCGTATTTGACCCCTCGTTCTTGTGGTACAAGCCTGCCAGGCAGCACACAACTTTCAGAGTGGTCTAACCTTGCTCTCAGGGGATTTCTCCCTGCAACACTAATATATCTGGCAGCGTGTATTGGGGTTGAGAAAATGTCAACCTCATGCGAAGCTGCCATGAGCTGTTCATTTTCAGCTGCTGGTGCCTGGAGTAAATGGTATGGCTTGTTTGCTATAAAATGGAAGGGATGCGTCCACTTTCAGAATCGGTGCGAAAGGCGAGACTCCCACCTAGTGGCTGAGGGAGAGGCTCTCAGCGAATTATTTTCAGATCCATGGTGTCACTAGATGGTTTAGTTTCAGCTGCTGGTAGAACCAGGTTACTTGGCCTTCTATTTCCAAGTTTCCCCTGCCAAATTTTCCTTGCATAATGTCATTTCTTGCAACCATATTCCATATGATATTAATAGAATTAGGAAAGATGTTAAATATGGCAGCCTATAGGTTTTCCCTGCATTAACCATAGCTTTGTTCATATCTGATGTTTGATTCCAGAAATGTCCACATGTAAACCAATGTTTAGGCACTTAGGAAAACCACAAAAAAGGTCACAGACTTCATCCACAGAGAAGACTGACAAAAATAAAGTCTATTTTTTATTGAATGCAGTTGTCATTTGGTGTGAAACAGTCTTTTTCAGCCATGTTAAGGCGTTTTCTTCTCTCTGATGCCCTTCTGTTATTTTTGTCTCCTTTTCCAGCTTACATGAAGAGGCGGCTGAGCTCCCTGAGCGATGGCCACTCTGTGGACGGGGCCCTGGCAGGGCCAGATTACATGCAGGGCTCCCAGAGCCCTGGCCAGCAGCAGCTGAAGAAGCCCCGGGTGGTGTTGGGTCCTGAGGAGAAAGAGGCATTAAAAAAGGCTTATCAACAGAAGCCCTACCCCTCCCCTAAAACCATCGAGGAGCTGGCCTCCCAGCTCAACCTAAAGACCAGTACGGTTATCAACTGGTTCCATAATTACCGGTCAGTAATGGGAAAACAGACTTCCTTTATTATTACCTTTTGCCTTGCAGACATACTCTGCTTACAGTCATTGAAAATCTCTTTTGATTAGACATGGAGAAGAAAACAATTTGCTTTCAAGAAACTTTTTTTGCATAAACAGATTTGATTTAACTAAATCTTTGAATCATCAGAGAGGCAGAATGTTGTTTTGGTTAAGCGACAACCGGTAAAAACTTACCTCGTGTTTCTTCACCAGGTCACGCATTCGCAGGGAGCTCTTCATAGAGGAGATCCAGGCAGCTGGAGGGGTCGGGCCCGGCAGCGAAGGGGGATCCCCCTCTCTCCGCGGGTCCAAATCGGGAGAAGGGGACAGCTGTGACGGGACAGAATCTGAGGGCACAGTGGAAGCGCGTCAGGGATTTGGTATCGGTCTGGAGGACCACAGAGGAGCGTGCAAAGATCACGACATGGAGGCCGAGTCTGAGGCGGGGGGCTCCAATAATTCCCCAGTCCAGTTAGACTGCACCACCTCAGGCTTAGCCGGGCCAGGCTCAAGATGCGGACAGAGTGGACTGGGGCTCTTCAGCCTCACAGATGCATCCTCCAGTAGCTCTGCTTCTAGTACAAACATCCCCGCCTCTGGCCCCGCCAGAAACCCCAGGGACAACAATCTGCGGAAGAAGAAGGCAGCCAATCTCAATAACATCATCCACAGGCTGGAGAAGGCTGCCAGCAAAGAGGATCCCTCAGAGTGGGAGTTCTAGCCTCCCCCTGACCATCCCGCATCCCTATCGTCTCATAACCTCACGACCTCTAACCTTGGACCCTCCTACTCCGTTCCAGTTGGAGAGTGGACACAGCCAAAGTCAAGCTCAGCAGCCATTTTTATTACACAGACGCTTTCCAAAAAGAGGAAAGAAACAAAGAGTGGTTGGTAAAACCCTTAAAAGAAGATTTACTGAGTACATAGAAGAACAAAAATAAGAGAACTTAAGTGTCTCTCCTTTTTTTTTTTTTTTTTTTAAACTAAGTTTTTGTTTTTGTACTGAGAAAAGCACTTAGCCGTCCTGCTGGCCTCTGGCCCTGCTGTACCTCCCCCCATATCACCAGCCACTGGTGCACCAGACTGGTTAGTCCTGAGCTGGGGTGTGACCCACAGCTGGGGTTCGAACCTGGACTCAGTCACACAGGCAAGGCCTGACACAGCAGCTGTCACAGTGATAGACACTGATAGATGATAGATAGAGACAGGAACTCTCTTACAAGAACTCTCACTTTCTTAAAGGAGATTTTTTTCCGCTCTTCTTCTCACCTCCCAAGTGTCCACAAACCTCCCCTCACTCAGTGAGACGCCTCATTTTTCACACTGTAGAGTGACTGTTACAAACCCTTTGCCTTTTTCACTCACTGCGTGTGTTTGTACGTTAGGGGTTGTGTCAGTGTGCACCTATGTGTACGTGTGTGTTTTTGTTGTGCGTGTGTGTATGTGTGCGTGTATACATGCCAAAAATGGTTTGTATGTTTATTCTCTTCTCAGTGGCAGCATGTTTTCTTTATTTTCTTTTTTTTAAAGTCACTCCTACACTCTTAAGAGGGTAGTGGAAAGCCTGCCGGCTGAGCTGCCATGGTTACTGATTTAAGACAGATGAACTTTGACCTGTCGTGTCCCATATCCTGTCCTGCTGACAGCCATGTGATGGCCAGAAGGATCTATAATTCCTCACAAATACAAGCACTCATCTGAAGGGGAAGGAAGGAAGGATCCCTCTTGTTGCCTCCTTAGACCTTTCTTTTTAGGATGAAGGATGATCTCTGTTTTTGATACTGCAATTTGGTTGCCAATAAGAGATTGCACAGTCTATTGACTCTAAAGAGTACAAAATAGGGAATCTTAGGATGCATTTTTAATTAGTACAAAATAAGAACAGAAAATAAGAGAATTACACGTTACTGTTTTTAAGAAAAAGAAAAAAAGCAAATTAGAAATGGAACAATGTTGCATTGTTGAAAACACGATACAATGAATTCACGTAGTACTGTAGCTGTCTGACATGGTGATGCTATACGTGTCTCTTGTTGTTTTGGGTTGTGCCCGTCACAGCCGCTGCCCAGCACTGGACCTGCTGGGGACGAAACTTTTCTTCTGTTCACAGACATCTTTTTTATAGGCCAAATCAGGAAGAGTGTGTATGTGTGTGAATGTTTAACGTGTGCGTCTTCTCGTGTGCATTTGTACTTTGCCTGCATGTAAGTCAGGGTTGAGGTCAATTCACTCAGTTGATTTTAAAAAGTAGATTATGAAAAATGAAATTCTTGCAAGAGAGAGAAAAATAAAAGGGTTTGGGGAGGGGGGTTTTAAGAAAACGAATAACAGAACTTTATCAGTATGTCCTTTCTTTTTTGCCGGTTGCCGTCAAAGTGAGTTCACCCCAACCCTGGTCTAAAGTAGTTGCCACTCTCCTCCAGTCTATCCTGTATCCAGGGATGTTAAGTCTTTTTTGCATTGAATTCTACTGTATACACTACAAAATATAAGGCATATCACCTCCTCCCTGTCCCACACAAGCCCTCAGTGCCTGTCAGCCCACTGCCTCCCCTTTGTGTGTGCGCGAGTCTGAGTGGGAGCATGTACATGCATGCCCGTCAATACATGCGTGTGCACGTGTGCGTGAGACTGAGTGTTCAGTGTTTTCCAATGAGTGGGGTCATTATTTCGTATCTACTTGCACACACTATTAGTGCACAACTGACACCCTTCTTTAAGCTGTTTGATGCGTTACCATTACATTAATCTTCTCACAAAGTAGTGTAATACTATGATTTACTGTAGCTTGGTTTTATTGCTATTTTGCATTTATAGTTTGGTTTTTATTCTGCTTATTTATAGGTGCTGTATTTTTCATTTAATGTCTTATCATATGAGTTGTCTATTTTTTAAGGGATTATACTGTTCCTGAGGGCAAGTAACATTTTTATTAGACGTATAGACTGCCGGCAGTATTGGTTAATATTTACAAAGATGTACTAGTTCTCATTTGTTTGTATATTCATGAATCCTAAATTTTAGTGTCATTTCAATAGCTTTGAAAATGTGTTTGCTACAGTTCATGCTCCCGTAAGCATAAAGCTCTTACCACAACAGTTATGCTCTTAAAATTGCTAGCTAGAAAATCAAAGGACATATCAAGATCAGTGAATATATGATAGTCTATCTCTTCTTGTTTTCTGTACTCGGATCATGTTCTTGTTTGTTATTTTTCTTTTCCTTTTTTCGGGGTTTGTTTTGTTTGGTCTTTCCTTGGGCAAGCCCAACACTAACGCTCTGCGGGGCGTGCAGCTTTCCTTAGCCAGACTTTGCCCGCTCATTCAATCACATTAACGTTATAAACCGGTCCAAATTTGTGCTCTTCGTCAAATAGGTCAAATGAAATTACCTAAACTTGAGAAACACAAGTTAACTTGTGAAAGAGGTCATATCTGCCAAATTGAGATTAGAGAAGTGTACCAGCGAGCAGGTGTGCTGCGCCAGATGGAGCAGAGATAGCCAGCCTATGATTATGCAGAATTTCTATTGCAGTTCTTAACAAAGCACTTAGGAGGATCTTTGTATGACTTCTCTCTTGGACAGGGTCTGTAAAACACTACAACAGAAAACCAATCCCAGGGTCCCGGGAAGCATTTGCCTTTTTTTTTTTTTTTTGTAAAAGAAAAAAGAAAAAAAAGTGGTTGTAAACCAAGCACAGACTCTTACCCACATTTTTAACACTAAAAAAAAAGAGAAAAAAACGAAAGAAAATAAGGTGGCTGTACCCATGTCTTTTGCATGATAAACTGCAACCCCACCCAGCAGACTCACTTCAAACTCCACAGAGGACTGTGAGACACCAAGGGCCGTGGTCCTGTACAGATGTAGATATTACGAGTAAGCACCTGTGTTGGTTTCTATTCAGTCTCCTCAGTCCACCCCGCAGCCTTCTCCCTCTTCCCAAATGTGCGTCCAGAAAAATTGTAAATGGTCCCATCCCCCGTTCAACGTTAACAGCCATAGATTGGATTTTCCAGTTTATCTGATAAGTATTCGTTTCCTCTAAGATTGGCTCTTCAGGCGGACGGCCGATGTGAGACATCGGCCTTCTGACGGCCTTTTGCCGGCCTTCTGCCGGACTGTTCAGACTGGACAACCACGGCGTGCTCTACGGTGACGGACAGCTTCTGTAAAGCGCGAGCACTTAGACCCATCTGCCATCTTCTAGCCAGATCCATCAGCCCACGCGAGATCATGAGATTTGTGCCTTTAACTGCCAAGCAGGGCACCAAACTAGTGATGTCAATGGAGGTAGAGAGTTTCATCCGACTCATTCGCAGCATATATTTAAATATATAGTTCCCCGGATCCGATTGGTTTCCCCATAGACTTCGTATTGGTACTCGGCTCTCTGGAGAAGAATCTGTGCAGGGAAACGGTGACAGGAGGAGAGAAATTGTTGTGTTCTTATGACTGAGCTGCAGTCGTGTTTCCGTCATGGTCTTATTTCAGGCAGCCCCCCCCCCCCCCCCCCCCCCACTCCCCATGCATTTCTTTTGTTGTACATAAACTAACTAGCAGCGAAAGGCCAGAGCATTGAATGAAGGAGGAAGCATGCAAAAACAGCATACACTGTAATAACACTGAATTTATTCATGGGGCATTTTGTATTTTATTTTTTTTTCTGTCTGTGTCAGGTTTGCTGTGACATTAATAAGGCACTACAGGTATTGATAATGACGTGTGCCAATTCTAATGGTTATTTGGAAAAGAGATGTGTAAATACAGTTGATCGAGTAGCTGATTGATTCACTATTGTCACAGTGTGCTTTTGTTTGAAGGCAGGAGGAGAGAAGGGACGATTCAGGACTTTTCCATGATCCACAGATATTTTTCTACAAATTTAAATCAGATGATTCTATACACTGTTGAATAACATTGTAAAGGTGTAACAGATGCTGTATATCATATCATGTTTTCTGAAGTCGTAAAGCTTTACTGTATGATCTGTTGAAGTAGTGGTTATTCATTTGACACATTAGTTGTAATGGAAGCCCGAACAGCAGCACTGGTCACCATATTCAGGAGAAGAAAAAAAAACGAGAAAAAAAAAAAGCGAAAAAAAGAAAAAAACCTCAGATGTTTTTGTAATACTTTTAGAATATATCTTATGAAGTGGGTTTTGTAAGGAAACACTTTCTGAATCAGTGGTGCTGTATGCATAGCACACTCAGTAATACATGTACACATAATACAGCACAAAACACTCATCCTTTCAACCCCCCCGTTACCCGCGTGCGTTTTATTTCCCCTCGCTCACGTTGGCCCCTGCTAATTTTAAGTCTTAACCCGTTTCCTCGTCACGTTTTTGGGCACCTCGTGCTTAACTGAGCGGTTTTAAGAGTCAGCGATCAGCTCCGGAACGATAAGCATTTCAGTCGAATATCACAAGACTTAAAAGAAGAAGCAAAAAGCCAAATAGGGATTTAGGTGTCCACTTCTGTTGAGAGGTTGCTGATCTATTTTTAATTATTTTTTTGTGTGTTGCTACCTGGTGTCGTTGCTTCAGTTCACACATAGCTTGAACCACAGTGTAGTCTGACAACCAAATGACCTGGGGGGAGACCTTTGCCCCCCCTCTTTTGGAAAGCTTTAAGATGCTCGTTGAGGCTTTAGCAAAGTTCGGAGTGTTTTTAGATGATTTTCTCCAACCTGTCATCAACAACGTGGAAGTAATAATTCTCATAACTTCTCCCACTGCTTATTTTGTGAGCGTGTGTGTGTGTGTGTGTGTGTGTGCGCGCGCGCCTGTGGTTGTGTTGTAGTACAAAAGGCTGCATGACTGTAAAGGGATGGTTACGTTTGTTTTCTTTTTTCTTTCCCTTTTTTTTTTTCTTTTTAAAGTGGTTTCTCCAGCACTTCTGTCACTCCTGAGATGCTTTTTCTTTGTTTTTCCTCTTTCAGGGCATCCCTCCCTTTGGTTCTTCCTCATGTATCATTGTTTTCTTTATCTTTCTATTTACTAAACGTATCATGTTGTTTGTTCTCAGCACTGTAAAACAGTCCCTTCTACAACATTGAAAAGCAATATCACTGTATGAAACGTTCACAATGTATTTGTTATGATTGACATTTGATTCATCATCATTATTATTCACATGCACCCTAGGTGTGATAATTGAAGTAAATCTCTTTTATACAAATACTAGAAGTGTGCTATTGGTGTCTTTTTTTCTGTGTTTGCAAAAAAAACATTCTTACTGGATGGTTGTTTGAAAAAAAAAAGTATTCTCAGAGAAAAAGGTTAGTTGTGATGGTTGGACAGTTAGAAAAGACAATATCAGCGGGGTTTCAGAGGTTTTTGGACTGCTCCATCCTTCTTCAGGTGAGTGAACGGTGGACACTGCAGATTAAAGCTAAATACCTGAATTTTGAAATTGTCCGTTTGTCTTTTCCCGTGACAGGCCGTTACTCTGAGCTCCAGGTGGAGTTTTCCGGGGCCGTGCGGACCAGCGCGGAGCAGAAGGAGCTGATCCTGAAGCTGGAGCAGGACCTGAGCACCATCCAGGCCATGTCCTCCCTGCCCCGCCCCGACGCCGACGGCTCCGAGGTCGGCAGCATGAGGAACATCCCGGAGCCCATCAAAGAGGCCACCGCCATGTTCGCCGGTACGTGGAAGGGAGCAACCTGTCTGGGCAGCATAGAAAGCCGAACAGGACCTTTGACCTCTCTGCTCCTCACCCGGACTTTGACTTTTCTTTAAAAATGTTCGTGGGCCTTCGTGCTTTCGGCTCCGAAAAGCTAATTCATGACCTCTGTTTTCTCCAGTCTGCTTTTTCCTCATAAATCTGCTCTGAAATCAAATCTAATCACAAACGCTCTCCGAGTAATAAGTGCTGGCACGCCGCCTCTTAAGTCGTGTTGTCTGAAAACAGCGCGTGGCCGTTCAGATATCCGTCCCTGTTTCTTCCCCCCCAAAAAATGTAACAATTAAAATTGATGACTAAATAGATCGGCGCTGAGCAGAGATTAGGTTTCAGCTTGGTGGCCGTCCAGCGCGCACAGCTGAAGTCCTACGGGGTTTTACGGAGGAAAATAAGAGAATAATCCTAATTGGAGCTGTTGGTTGGCTTGAATCCAGGACAGCAACTCTGAGAGTCTTCAATGATAAAAAAGGTCAGCGCAGAGCAGCCCAGGACTCTCTGACATGAAGAAAAACACGCCAGTGGTCATGTCGGTTGTGCAAAATGAGAAAATAGTTCAATTTTTTTCTTGGATTTTTAGCTGTAGTCGGGGCACTATCTTTTTTTAAAAGTAGAATTCTATCAGGTGTAGTTTGGTCAAAACTGTAGCCAGTTAAGATAAAAGGTTTTGATTGCTTTTACATCAGTTTTGTTTTCATGCTGGTGGGCAGTACCGGGTTCCTCTGTGTGGACAGAGACAGGTGTGTGTGTTTAAGCTCTGCACACTTAAAAGATCAGTGTTTTTTTTTCTTTTCCTGCACTCGTGTGCCAGCGGCTGTGATTTGGACCAGTCCCGAGCTCAGACCGCACGCCCAAACGCGATCATGTAGGACACGTAGCTGTGAGCGTCGGAATGTAAACACGCGTGTATCTGTGCTGCCTGTTCGCCGGCAGGTTCGGGCGTGAGCCCCCACTCAGAGCTCCCCCAGGGCCAGATGGACTCGCTGCTCTCCATCATCTTCAGCCAGAGGGAGAGGTTCCGCTCCCGCAACCAGGAGCTGGAAGCTGTGAGTCTCTCTCTCTCACACACACACACGCGCGCACACACACACACACACACACACACACACACACACACAGGGATTAACCCTGTGCTTTCCTCTGCGTTCCCCTGATGCTTGCAGGAGAACCGCTCCATGCAACAGACCATGCAGGCCCTGCAGAATGAGCTGGACAGCCTGAGAGCTGACAACAACAAGCTCTACGAGAAGATCAAGTTCCTGCAGAGCTACCCGGGCAGGGTGCGTCCATCCGTCCATCTGTGTGTGTGTGTGTGTGTGTGTGTGTGTGTGTGTGTGTGTGTGTTTAACAGAGGTTTAGGTGTCTGATATTGTGTTGTGGGATGTGGAAGCCGAGGCCCGTGAGTCACATCTGTCTGTGCTCTGCTGCAGGCCGGTGGCAGCGACGACACCGTCAAGCGTTACTCCTCCCAGTACGAGGAGAGTCTGGATCCATTTTCTTCCTTCAGCAAAAGGGTACAGGACACACACACACACACACACACACACACACACATACCGGCAGAAGCTCGCCCTTTCTTTCAGCGGCTGTCCATCCTGAGTCCTCTCAGTGGACTCATACAAACTGTTCACCTGCAGTTTGTCTCAGTCCGGCTGGAATGGTTTGCTGTGATCCCACGTTATCGATAAGTCCAAGAAAATCCAACCGAGCAGGACCACGAGTCCACGAGCAAAGCAGTGTGAAGCAGAAAAGGGAAATAAAAAGCCACAAAAAAAGATTCCCAACATCCAAAAAAAGTCTGTTGTCGGGGTACATTTTTGTCTTTACAGAATATTTCTTTCACACGAAGTCTCTTAAATAAAAGTGTACTGACACGCGTAAGTAGGGAAAAGTGTGACGGTGTTCAAATGGCTGCAGTAAATATAGCCCCTCACATCTGGAGTCTGCTCGGCTCCCGCTGGCTGCCACGCGCCCCTCAGACTGCTGGTTTCATTTCAGTCTGCCACCATTTTGCCCCCGATGTAGTAATCGGCCCCTTCTCCTCACAAACAGAGTCGTTCCAGTCGGGCGTGGCGCCGTCTGTGGGTTTTGATTGAACGGGGCTGAGAAGCCTTTCCTTTTTTTTTCTCCTGGTGCGAATTAAACTGTCGACCGGGGCTTGGATGGATTGATTTAGAGCACGTAGCCATGACGTTTTTGGGTGCATTTAGTCAAATCTAGATGTGAGGTGCCAAAAGCTTGGTGTGGCGTCAGTGTTTTTGTGTTGTGTGCCTTTTAGGAGCGTCAGCGCCGATACCTGAGCCTCAGCCCCTGGGATAAAGCCACTCTTAGCCTGGTGAGCCCCGGACCCCCACATGCTTTTACACTTTTTTACGTCTTCGCTCCAGCTAATTCTTTTGTGGTCCTCAGGGACGTATGATTCTCTCCAACAAGATGGCCAGGACCATTGCCTTCTTCTACACCCTGCTTCTCCACTGTTTGGTCTTCCTGGTAAGTTTTCTGTCAACGGTGGTGAGAATATTGAAACACTGTGGGGTTCAGCCTTTGGAGGAACTGGACTCACCTCTTTATTTGATACAGGTGCTCTACAAGACCGCCTGGAGTGAGAGTATCGGTAGAGACTGCTCGGCCTTCTGCGCTAAGAAGTGAGTTTCCACCCTCTGGTTGACTCGGCAAGCTTTATTATGATGAATGATGTTATTATTATGTTTCTAATGATGAACTTAATACTTTCTTTTCTCCCAGGTACTCCGACCACCTCCACCGTTTCCATGAGAACGACCAGAACCTTTAAGAAGCGCCACATAAGGGCAGACAGAAGTCTGTGAGCATGCGTTCAGAGGACTCCACAGAGCTCCTCTGTTTTCCAGAGCTATGGCAATAGCTGGCTTTTTCCACTAGGGGGCGTTTTCGGGCTGTGAGCTTTCGGTCAGAGGGTTTTCTTTTGTTTTCAGTTTGCTCGTCTTAGATAAGATCCAGTTAAAATGTGATTCTAGCAGGGCTTTAATTTGAAGTTCCGGATGATTCACGATTACCACATTTCTCCGAGGCAATCTCTAATTGGTGGTGGTATCTGTGCTAGAGCTCATTTAATGAAGATTAATAATCAAATTTGTTGTGTTTACCTTACTGTACCAAAGGGGACCATAATACTCTGGTCTAGTCTAGTTAGGAATTTAGTGATAAGTTTAACAGTTTTTTTCTTTATATTTAGAGAATGGGTAATTTAATCAAGGGAGAGATAGTTTAGGTCCAAGTAAAAGTAGAAGGTTGATTAGATTTATGTGGGAGTTAACACTGTGAAATCACATTTATTCGGTAGGTTTTGGTGGTAGGACAGTACATATACTCATACAGTTGGTCATTCATCTATAAATTAGTCCAACACGAGACCAACCAATAAAATTGGTGAGTGTTTAACATGAAGGGTTTATAATGATTGTTTGACTTTGGTGCAGAGATCATGTTGTTACTGTTACTTGCTGACAAATGAGGAAATTAGTCATTAGTTATGAATCATTAATAATCGTTTCTGTGCATGTTTACCAGCTCACTCCACACTTTTCTGTCCTGCAGATGTATTCTAAATAAAGCCTATGCAGTCCGTTTTGTTTGTTTTTGTCTCATCTGGAATTAGAATCGGTGTGGTGCCGTTTACAGACACAGTTTCTGCCTATAATAAATCCCTGGAAATGCAAGCTTGAAGGGCCATTTAGTTTTTATGGGCTAATCGTTTTTTAACCTCAAAATTTACACGGCGTGTTTCTCGGTGCAGCAGGGAAATGCAGCTCTCCTCATTCTTTTGAAAACCATCTTAAGAGAGTCATTAAAAGTCTTGGAGGGGTTATAGGGAATAAAAGGAAACAACTGGAGGAACATGATCTTTATTTGTCAAACTGAAGGCTCTAAAAAATTTTTAAATGTTTGCTGTTTGTAACATCAAAAGATTCATACAATCTGGAGAAATGTATTTACAGGACGCGGGCAAAAATAAATGTCCACCCGTCATGTCTGGGCCTGGGGGGAAGCCCCGGAAGCCGAACCACACACTCCATCTATTACCACAAGATTGATTCATGAATCTAAATGCTAGTTGCTTCTCCACTAATGTGTGGAGCATCATGAAACAATAAACACAACAAAGAAGGCCCAAGACTGAAGAAGAAGAAATGATTGACCCCAGTGGCTCAGACAGGTTGGAGAAATGGAGTATTTGAGTGTTTTACTTCAGGAATACTACTTTTTTTTTTCATACCAAGGGGATTGGTCTGTTTAATGCTGTTTAAAGGAAAAACTACCGACTTCTGTCGCCCAGAAACACATGCGATCTGCTGATTGGGGATTTGGGCCTCAGCAGCCCCACTTAAAGCTGCTCTCATTTTAGCAGCACAGAATTAAGATTGCATTATTCATGGGAGGCCTCCCCTCAAAGAGCACCACATCGCACAGCCATTAAAGGCCGGCTGACCTCCTCCTCCCTCCCACTTCTCAGCGCGTCTTAAGCCTCATTTTGCTTATCAATCAGAGCAGACTGGGAGCCGTGTCAGCACAATTACAGCCACATTCTGCCTCCGACAGCAATATTCACCTTTAACCCCAAATGTAGATGAAAACGCACCTTATACCCCCCCCACCCTCACTCATCCCCGTGACTCGTCCCTCCACAGCCCTTATCTCAGCTTTTCCAGATTCACAAAGGTCTCAAGTGAGCTTAATGGCCATTTCTTCCGGGCCGGTCAGACAGCCGTCTTTACTGACCACACTGGTTGGTCAGCATTTTTTAAAAATTGTTTTGACATGTCAAGTTTATTTAGAGGTTTGTCATTTTTGGTGTTAAATAAACCGACTGAGCTCATTTAAAACTATGATAATTTGGGATTTTCAATTTTTTTTTTTTTTCAATTTCCATTTGGAGTTCAGCAGAGGGCAGTAAAGTTCCCATCATGGCTCATGAATGAAAATATCAGCGTATTCATTTTTAAAAATTCATTATTCCAAGTATTCACTGTGCTTAGCAAAGAGATATAGCTCCCTGTGGGGGATTTAAATCCATAAAGGAGTGGCATTCATTTAGCTGAATGATTATGTTGGGATTTTATATACATGACATTTTACCTTTTTTTTGTGGCCTTGATGGATACAATTTAGCATCGTTACCACTAATTGTAAGCTCATTTCTAAAGAAAAGAATGTGACTGACAAACAAAAAGACACTCCAGTGGTTGGTTGGCTCATGTGAACGAACCAATGGTTTAACTGCATGGAAGGATTTTTTAATTTTTCAAACAATCTATTTTGATTCAGTTAATAGTTTTATTTTTGAAAGTAAAAAAAACTGCTATTGTAGAAAAATGATACCTTTCCAAAAGAAAACTTTTAAGAACTTTTAAGAAATAAATGTTTTAGCAACTAAGAATGTTATAGACATATAAAAAGATTTCCGGGAGTTGAACCTGGAAGAAATCCTATTGCGAGATTACAGTGAAAGTTAGTGGGGGGGGGGGAAAACCAGCATGTTATTTAAAGAGTTTCAGGCTGAAGTGCAGAATGCTGATTTCAGCCTGCACTGTGCTGCTCACTGAACCATGTAGGTGAAAGGAGGACACATAAATTGAAAAAAAGAGAAAAAGCCTCAATTCATGCCTTCAGAATCTTAAAGAAATTAGTTTTCAAAGATGATGCTATAGAGGATGCAACATAAAAACACATGGAATCACAGGTATTCTCAATACTGAAATCTAAAAGCTTAAACTAAAACACGTATAAAAGTCCAAAATAACAAAAACCAAAATTATTTCAGTATTTTTACATAACTATGTAAACATCCTCTGGTTTGGGGGCTTTAAATCCGATCACATTGTCTTGTGAATGAATTCAGAGTTTTCACTGCAGAATGCTTTAGTGGGAGTGGATTTATATAAACACTCTATGAATCCTGCCTCAGTTTGCCCCCCCCCCCGTTCCGAAGCATCGTCTTCATTCATTCTTCTGTAACTGTGAAAATCTCATTCACAGCTTTCAATTAACCAACACCATTCAGATTTCTCCTCCTTTGTGTCACTAAGTGGCTCAGAGAAGAAACGGCCGAGGACTGTTGCATGGATACAAAGAGTGTGTGGGAGTGTGTGCGTGAGAGAGTGAGGCTGGTGCCTGTTGGTACTCGGGTGTATGGGAGAGTTGTCACCACTGTTTTGCTTTTGTTTTTTTCAAACTTCTAGCTACATCTCAGCCTCTCATAGAAACGTCTCTGTGCCCTCCAGTTCTTTCATCACTCCCTCTGTCAGCATGAGGCACACCCCCCCCCCCCCCCTCCCCCTTTTTCACCCCCAGCTTCATCGGTGTGTTTCTATGGGAACAAGTCTCCCCTGTCAGGTGGCTTCATGCTGAACGCTCCCCTGTGCTCTGATTTGGTCTGACAGCGGCTGGTTGAATCATTTTGGGCACGTGATGCTCCACCAGCCAGTCTGAACCTCAAATATGGACACCCCCCCCCCCCCCCCC